AAGCAAAGCTTGCCCCCTAAAAACCCCCCTCTGCCTTAACACCCGTATAGATAATGTGTATATATATATATATATTTATATTTATATTTATATAGATAGATGATATATAGTATGTTGTGCTATAATTATGAAAAGGAACCCGAAGGGATGGTCTTGGAAACTACTCAGGTTTGGGGAGAGAATTATACTGGACTCATATTGAAACTACAAGGGGGATACTAAGACTAACTATTCCGACCCCTTCTGCTATACTCATACATATAGACTATACTAGGACTAGTGGCCCCTATCCTGAATCTATAGGGGGATACTAAGACTAACTTCCTCCGATACCTTCTGTTAGATCCCACAGAGCCGCCACCTGCACATCGAAGGTCCATCGCTCCAGGGTCTCCTCCGTCACCTGAAAGAAGCTGAGAACATAATCTTGGGGTTTAGGGTTTAGGGTCATAGTAGATATAGTTGTGAGAACAGAGTAGACTAGGCTTGGCAGTTTTAAAGCCTCTGAAAAGTCTTCGTAAATTAGGGTCCAAGTATGCCCCAATAAGGGAAAATACAAAAAAAATCCCAAAGGCCTACCTAGTAGATATAGTTGCGCGTTGTTACGGGGACCTCAAGTCACAACTAAGTCACATCTACCGTGCACAATGGTGCGATGATGTACCAGAGTAGCCTTTAATGCACTGCGGGTGGTAGTATGAAATGGGAGGTCCGCTTTGTTGGCCAGAACGCAAGCGATCGAGTAAAAAAGGCTGGAGACGCAAGGGGAATCCTCTGCACTCCGTTGTGGAGCGGCAGGGGCCATTCAGGCCGGATATCTCCTCTTTCAAAAACAGGTCATACCTTCCTAGTTTTGCCTTTGCGTGTAAGACATAAAACACGAACAGCCCACCCGAAAGCAGTGCTCTTGAGCCAGAAGAATGAAGCAAGCAACACAGTCCGCGCTGCCTGCGAGGCCACGACAACAACCAGCTTCTTGACCTTGCATTGATTGGGGCTGACGGCACACGGAACTCAGGAGCTGTTCTGGGCACTTGCTTCAGTGTTGCCACGGCGCTACCGACACTATTACGGTTTCCCATCACCAACTGGGAAATCTGAGGCATCCCTGCTGGTATGCCTGAACAAAACCGCAGAAGACGTTATCCCCAGTGCTGCAACGGCCCACACATTCTGGTTTTCAGGGCTACCCTAAACCGTCAAGTCGAAAACTCATCGAGATTCCGACATTTCCACTTCTGCGCCCTGCAAGAAACCACTTACCTTTGGTTAGTAGGGAATGGAAGAATGGGGTACAATTATAACTACTATAACTACCATTCTTTCCATTCCCTACTAACCAAAGGCAAGACTAAGTATGCGACTTGGCTCACCATCATCCAGCCCCGCAGCTGCTTCATGACCTGAGGAGTAGAGGGCTTTGGGTTTAGGGTTGTACATGGTAGTAGGCCATACTATATTGTGGTATGATATAGTATGTTAAAGTATATGACGGTATACTATGGTATATTATGGAATACTGTGGCAAGGTATGGTATATCATAGTATATGATAGCTACTCAAACATGGACAGAATGAGGTCGAGGCTGATGGTTCCAAATTCGGGTTGCAGGCATTTGGGTCCAGATTCTCGTTAGCTTTTGGGAGAAGGAACTACTAGTAGCTGTAGCATCCGTGTGTGAGTTTGACACGAATATCACTTCCGTGCTCCTGTCCATTTGAAATTCCCGTCACCGATCTAGTCGGGCATATTCACTCTAAAAACGTTGCAGTCATTGCTGTTGTCGCCGACGCCGCCTGCTGGCCGGCCGGTGGCAACAGTGGCAGTCACACCAGCAGCAGCGGTGGCGGAAGTGTCAGTCGTAGCAGTGGCAGTGTTAGCAGCGGCAGAGGCAGGCGCAGTAACAGAACCAGCAGGAACAGAGGCAAGAGTAAAAGCAGTTCGTAGCAGCAGCCGTCGTTGTCGTCGTTGCCTTCGCGGTTGTCGTCGCAATAGTAGCGGCGGCAGTCAGAATCACAATGATGCGGTTCATGTCTACAGCAGGGCTATAGTGCATGTAGTCATGCTGAGCGTAAGTACGACCCCCGAAACTTCTTCCCTGGCCTCGCCTCCCCCAAGTACTCCTGCAGGCCCTTGTCTTTGGTCACGAGGATGGACCTATGGAAGCAAGTTGGAGGCTCTTGGAGTTGAAAATTTGGAGTGTTTGGTTTCGGGCTTAGGTATCAGAGGATTTTTCTCTAAGGGCCTTTGACAGCAAGCCAGAGACATGGGTGGAATGGCACAGTTACTCAAGAGATTGGAGATCATGCCAGGATCGCCATCCTCGCATACTCCATGTCCAATACTTCCAACGGTCCGGCAGCTACTCGGCGCGATGAGCAACAGTACGACAAACCCTGAATGCAGCATGCAATTCCTGTTTTGTAAAGCGTTGTAAAGCGGGCCATGCTTCAGGGCGGTGCAGAGGATACTTACACTACTCAACCACTCGAAAAAGTGGCTGGGATACGAAGCGCCACAACTTAGGAACCAGCTTGAATCCCTAATGCCCCATCCCAAACCTTAACCTACTAAACCACCCAAAAACCCCAATACCAATCCCTGAGCCTACTCCCTAAACTCCTACACCCTAAACCACCAAAAAACCCAACACCAACTCCTAAACCTACTCCCCAAAACTGCAAACCCTAAACCACCCGAAAACCCCAATCCCCCAAAGGTCGCCTCAACAGCGGATCCAGACTAGCCGAATCCATTAGAAACCTATAACTTACCATAGTATCACGGGCCCAAAAACCCATTCTAATTTATAAGTCCCCTATACTAAACCCTAAACCGAGGTCCTAATAGATTATACTTTTCTAGTACATGATATGGCCGCTGGTACAGGAACACGCGGGAGACTCTGGGCATCGAACGCTGCACCGAAAGAAACCTAGTAATTAGAATAGGGTTTGGGGGTATGCTATACTATAGTCATAGTAAGGTAGATATTCAACTGTAGTCACAATAAGGAACCCAAAATAGTATATATTAAACTGAAATCATAATAAGGAGCCCCCGAAATAGTAGATATTAAAAACTATAGTACCATAAGGAACCCCTAAAATAGTATTGGCAATTATTTAAGCCAAAGAATCGCAGGTGCTGCCGAGATGCAATCCGTACTTGGCCACGGAAGTGAAGTTCTCTGGTGGGTAGACCCTACCATGAGCACAGAAGAGCATCGAAAACTTAGATGCGGTGACTTCACTCCAAGGGTAAAAGGAGGGACCCTTGATAAGGACCCCCAAGGTATATACCCTGAATATAGCCATTATATACCCATTATATAGCCCATTACATGGTAGGGGTCCCCATTAAGGGTCCCTCCTTTTCCCCTTTGCTTCACCTTGAAAGCAGAGGGCCGAATTTCTTACGCGGCGACAGCACGATCGAACAGCGATCTGATCATGCAGACTTTTGCTATGTGGGTGGTTGTCAAAATTATGGTCCCTTTTGGGTCCCTATTGTAATACGACACCTATTATTTAGGGTACCCCAAAAGGGACCATAATTTTGACAACTACCCATGTAGATCATGCTTTCATCACTATATCCGACCTAAGCGCAGACTGACGGTCACAGCAAAGCTGGAGAGGGCACCCACGCTGGTACAGAATGCTGTTGATGGCATAGCCGAAGAACTCCACCACGGTGTCGGTGGATCCACGCAAGGTGATCTAGGTCGAAACTCAGACATGCAAAGTTTTCTGGATGTCTCTCACAACTTGAACCAGTTTTGAAGGCCAACGTTTGAGGCCATGTTCATCGTAGCTGCAACGATAACAACAATAATTACGACAGTCACAATAGGAAAGAAGTATCACTATCTACTACTAAAACCAATACTTAACCATCTGGTTTGAATAATCACTATCTACTACTAGAATCAATAGTTAGCCATGTGGTTTAAGCTTCTTTGTTTGGATCCTCTCGCTCTTCTTTCCACAGCCAGGCCGGGCCCCTGGCCAGGCCAGTCTTCTCAGGAGTCATGGCGGACATGGCGACCAAGGGCGGCGAAGGAGAGGGAAAGGGCTTAGGATGTCAGAAGGCTCTCGAAACACTACCTGTGCATGATCTCTATATACACATTTACATGTGTATATATATATATATATATATGTATATTATACATATATATATATATATATATATATATTATTACTACTAGTATATAAAGTGTACATCTTGGATAATTTCCAGGTTGCTGCATGCTACCACTTGGAAATTGCTGGTACTGCGAGCAAGATGCACAAGCAGAATCGCATCAGAGTTTCAAGGCGGTCGCGGAAGCAAGCTGTGTCCTGATGGCACTATGAACAATGATGGAAATACAATAATCGCTCTGATATGTAGAAAAGCACGAATAACAACAATAGTACCGAGAAAAGCAAAAGTATTCAGAACCATGATAAGGAAAGGAAAGAAGACCACGAATCAGAAGGAGATGGAGGTGGAGCAGAAAAAGTAGTACTCGTAATGCTACAAGTAATGACGATGACAACAAGAAACATGACAGTAATAACAACGGCAATCATAACAAGAATAATTGCACAAGATCGAAACGATACCAATAGTGAAAATTCATAGTAAGAGTATTAATGTGTTTGAGAACAATAATCATCCAACACAACAAGCAGACTTACTGAGGTTGTCAGTGCGATCAACATGATATGCTCATTCACATGGCGGACAGACAGTTTCTCACCATGCTCTGGCAGCATCTGTACGCAGCAGCATTTCTTGCTTGCACGAAAAAGCTTCAAGAGGAGCTTCCCACGCCCTTTCTGCACAACTCCGAATCGTCAAACCCCAAAACCTCGTACTCCTTGGTGTTCCTTGACATCATTACTGTCAAACATACCCTCCGATGCCTATTCTAACTATGACGGCCATATGTCAAACTACAAAGTCGAGCGCGCAGCAATCCAACTTGCAGCAGAGCTCTCAGCCGGCACTAGGCAGCAGCCGCCTTTCCGTCTCCAGCCAAGCCGAGCTTAGGGTTTAGGGTTCTCGGGTTTAGGGCTTTTTTTTTTTTTTTTGAGGGCTCTTTTCCAACTGGTTAGCGGGAATGCCTTACCAGGCGGAGCCTGTGGTTGGGGCCTCTGTGGGCCACGCACTCAGGTTGCTCAGACAGGATGCATGTACAGCCCGCATCCGCAGAATCTGCCACACCGTGGCAAAACACAGGGGCTCAGGGCATACCCGTTTCCACATCGCTGCATTTCAACTATCGGCAGTAGCTACATGCCAGCTACCTCTCGTGGTTGGGGCCTCAGGGGGTTTCTTTCAGTCTTCGGAGTTCGGGGTTTAGGGCTTTAGGGTTTAGGGTTTCGGGGTTCAGGGGCTTGGGGTTTCGGGATTAGGGGTTAGCGGGCTTAGAGTCTACAACCCGGAAAAACTACTTTAGCTGCTATGCTTTCTGTAATGGTGCTATGTGCAGTTCCTGAGGTCTCAACATGTTGATGTCTACTGATGTCTAAGACTAGGGACCTCAATCGCTGGAATAGGTTTGGAGGTATATGTTACCACTGCCGTACCTAGAATATGGACAAGACCTGGGGGGGACACTAGTGAACCGGGTATCGTACTGTTGATGGACAAAATCCTGCATGACCCTTAGGACTCTAAACTATGGGAATTATGGTATATTCCTTATAGTGGGTAATGCAGGATTTCGTCCATCAACAATATTGCTGCAAGGCTCCTCTATTACAAGATCAGATCGCAGCTCGCCTCGTTTGGAAACTAGGGTGACGGGTACCTATCCAATACAAGCCTGATAGGAGCCCTTATCGAGCCCTTACTCGGAGGATCGTGGGTCTTAATAACTAGTGTTCTGTCTTTAAGGTAACCATACTTATAAATACTTATAACCCCAGTTAAGGTACTCACAACCATACTTACTAAGTCTCGATCCTCCAAGTACGGTAATTCCTTTAAAAGTTATCGCAACCCTCAACCCGAATGGAAGCCTGTAGAACCCTGCCCGCCTTAGGCCAGGGCCGCGGCATTCGGAACCCTGGCACAGGGGAGGCTTTCGGAGGCTTTCCTACATTGCTGTGATGGGCCCTCCTACTGGGCACTCACCCTGCTTAATGCAGGGGCCTGAACACTTAGAATAGGGTTCCTCAAAAGAGGTCTATAATAAAAGTATAAGGGATCTATAAGGTACTACAATGTAGGCCTTAATAACGAGAATGGTCCTTTACTATAGTTAAAAAGAAGGAACCCCCAAAACCCTGTTCTACTTAGTAAGGCCCCTATATTACATCCAAAGTGAACCGAAGTCCGGCATGCCACGGCTCTCATCACGAGCCTTGGAGGTGCCTAAAGCCCAAACTCAGCTGAAGCTAACCGTCAAAGACCAAACCCAAATCTCTTAACCCTCGACCCCAAACCCAGAACTCTAAAACCTGAGCCCGGAACTCTAAACCCTAAACCCTAAACTCCATAACCCAAACCTGTAATATAGGGGCCTGAATGTGGCCCAGTATACTAGAATTACAATAAGGAACCCCCAAAACCGTGATTCGTCATTATTTAGGCTCCTAATAGTAACCCAAAACCCTAAACCCTAGCCCTTCGTTGTGCCATGAACCTTAGAAGCGGCCCCCACCCATTATAATAGGAATATAATAGGGCCCTAATATAATCTTTATAGTCACTACTACAGGGTGGGGGCAGCTTCTAACATGAACCCTTCGCCAGGCCTAGGCCTGACGCATCGCCATTTAGGGAGGTGCCGCCGCAGCCCACGGCCTTCCGGGCCACCTGAACTTACCATAGGATTAGGGTTTAGGGTTTTGGGGGGCCCGTTTTTGAGTCTGCGCAGGGTTTAGGATTTAGGGCTTACGGTTTGGATGGGTTTGGGGGAAAGGAGACTTGATAACTACAAACAGGAGTGTCTTGCGGCATATATGCAAAGCAAGGGCGGGGGCCTAAACAGTGTAAAAGAAGGTCCAGCCGTACATTGACTAGGCACATGATAAGGGCCCTGAGGAGTAGTGCTGGTATTTATTCAGGCTTCTTTATGACTTGGAGGACTCTTTCGCGAGGACACTGCTGCCGCCAAGACCGCCACCACTGCCGCGACAAGTACTACCCAGCGACTACTCCTGATAGTTGCTAGCACGGCCACATGCACCGGGCATGATATCGCGAGCTCGGCGAAGATCCATGCGCATTCATGCATGCCGCTGGCCTTTCGGCGGTCCAGGGCATCCGAGAAGTCCTAGCATGCAGCAGCAGAGTTGCATGCATCAGCCGCAGCAAGAATCTTGCAGCAAGAGCAACAGTACACAGACAAAGAGACAACCAACGGTGGTGGGGAAGGAGGCGGTTGCAAAGGATGTAGTTCGGGAGTTGAACGTCACGCCATTGTCACCATGATGTTGTTGTTGTCACCCATGTAATGACATGCTCCCGAAGCTACAGAGTCTATGGGTGGATAGACTGCTTCAAGCCATGTGCGAGCATAGCAGTAAGCACTTGCTCTTCCAACGTGAAATGCGCAAGCAGGTGCCTTCGCAGTAGGTTGTGATCTCGAGTCGCGCAGGGCCAGGAAAATCGCCTGATCTGGCGCACATCACCCTAAGCGTTAAACCCAACCCATCGGGCCTGTTCCCCAATCCCAAAGCCTGGCTGAAAGAGCCAACGTGTGGAGTGCATCTGCCTACTTTCGCAGAGATCTTCGAAACAAAACTGCCTAAGGCTTCACTCCTTGCCAGAGGTCGGCGTATTTAACATCACACTATGTCGATTCCAATACTCGATTCTTAATACATCACTTTTCCTTTCTAACACCAGACTAGGGTTCCTGTCAAGGGTCTATAAGGGCTACTATAGGGGATCTATAAGGGTACTACAAGATTCACTCATGTTCAGTTCTTCAGACCTAGAGCTTCGAGCATCTGACTTGGGCTCATCCTTCTGCAAGGCATTGCGTGACGAGCTGGGACTCATTAGGAGCCAAAACAGACGGCTTAATACCTAGAATCGGGTTTCGGGACTTCTTTTAGCGAACTTGTATCAACGAACCCTAACCCCAAACCCTACAGTAAGCCTCTCTATTTGAGCGGGCCGAGCCTCGTTCACGACGTTGGCAAGCTCTGCGCCACTGAAACCTGCCCCAGAGGGTCCAAGTACCCAAATAGTAGGGTTTCAAGAAGCAAAAACCATTCAGAGGGGCGGGCAGGGAGCCGCAAGCCCTGACCTACGCTTGACGCCCGCCCCAACGCTGGTAGTGTAGGGGCCTTAATTATTAGAACAGGGCTCCTTTAAGGGGGTCTATAAGGGTTACTATAAGGGATCTAGAAGGCTACTGTAATGTAGGGGCCTGAAAAATTAGAATAGGGTTTGGGGGCATAATATACTATACTGAAAATCAGGAACCCCCAAAACCCAGGAACCCCCAAAACCCTATTCCAATTATTAAGGCCGCCAAATTAGTGTAAGCCATGGATCCGGGCATGGACAGAGAACTCAACCTTTGCTAAATGACTCAAGCTCTCTCGGGTTTGAACGAGATCGCCTTCAAAACCATAATGGGATTGCTGCCGTCATTGCTGTTGTCCTGTATTGCTGTCTGCCGTCGTCATAGAGTGGTCATTTACATGCGTCACTGTTGCGGTTGCCATGCTCACCTTTGCCCTGTTTCCTCGCTAGGAAAGGCGCAGCTATTCCCAACTTTTGCTTTGTGTGCAACTGCTCGTGCTCAATTTGCCGCAAGCCTGCGAGGCCAACACTGTCACTCGGCCCCTCAACTCCAAACCCCAAGGGCTTACAAACATTCGGTCACCAAGTGCTTCTACCACCCCACACCCCACGACTCATGTACAGGACAGCGCACAGCCCAAGGCCCCGAACCAGAAACTATGGAAGACTGGACACCGCACCCTCCCAAAGGGCCCTGCCTGCTGAGGAAGACGCGATGGAATTCACAGTGCCTGCCTCGTCGGAACAGATTGCGGGTTAGACCACGCAGTTTGCGATAGTATGCAGTGTAACGGAAACTGCGGCAGGCCCGACCTCCACTGACAGGCTTTCGTCCGCCTGCCAACTTGTGTCGGCTTAGCTACTTCGGTCAACTTGTAGTGCTGCGAGCAACATGTGATACTCACTACTACTACCACCACCGCCACCACCACGCCCACTACCACCACCACCACCACCACCACCACCACCACCACCACCACCACCACGACCACGACCACTACCACTACCTCTACCCCTACCGCCACGGCTGCTACTACTGCTACTGCTACTACTGCCACTGCTGCTACCACTACTACTACTACTACTACTACTACTACTACTACTACTACTACTACTACTACTGCTACTACCACTACCGACGACTCCTGCTGCTACCACCTCCGCATCTACCACCAGTGGTCCTGGTGTGACAGTTGTTGGCACTATCGTTACAACTTAACACCAAAACCATTCTCCTTTGACTATTCAGGTCCCCCAAAATAATACGACATCTTTTTAAAGAGGACCTTACAAAGGACCGGAACCCAAAAGGACCCTAAAAGGGGCCCTGGTTTAGAGATCTACCCATAATGACGACTCTCTCGCCTTACGGGATTCGACCGGGCCTTGCGGACGTGAATTCGGAAAATTGCCTTTCGCTCCTCCTGCAAAGCCAAACGGAGAGACAGGGAGGGAGATGGAGAAAGACAGAGCGAGAGAGAGAGAGAGAGAGAGAGATATGCCTATATAAAAATATACGTATGGTCAGGCGTCTGGCATTCCCAGCCCCCCCCCACCAATGGTATGGTCTGGTAGGGTGGGGGGGTTGGCGTGTGCGGATGGGGATCGGAGCTGTTGCCGCTAGATGATGGGGTTGGTGCTGGGGCGGCCAGGGGTCACATGCAAGCGCTACGCAAGCCATAAACCCCATAAGATAGCGCATGCTCCTGTTTCATTAGCCTTAACCTGCACTTTCCAAACCTAGACCCCGCCAAAATGCAAGCTCTACGCCTGAAGCGGAACATGAACCGTCAACCCTAACGAACCTAGCCCTTGTCGATCGAAGCCTGATACCGTTTCACAGTATATAAACCCCAAACTCAAAAGCTTAAGCTAAACCCCAAAACCCCACAACCACCCCACACCCCACACCACAGGGGAGGGGGGGGACCCAGCTATATCCAGACCATTGATTGACCTTTAGGGGGCAAGGGGGGTGGGGTCACGAAGCGCGTGACCATATATATATATATATATATATACATGTATATACGTATATGCACAGGTATAGATATAGATATACATATATATATATATATATAAATATATACATACATATATATATATATGTATATATATATATATGTGTGTGTGTCTATATAAACTCAGATACAGATGTGTATATATATATATATATATATGATCCCGGTTCTCGGTTCACCGACCCCCCCCCCCCCCAATGGTATCCCCCCCCCCCCCCCCCCACGCTCCCCAAGCCGAATCTGTGTGTCCAGACGAGGGCTCACACGCCAAGCAGACCCACGCAGGAAACCCAAACCGCACCACGCCACACGGGGGCACAGGGAGGGGGAAGCAACCCACAACCACACCACACCACAGCAGACCCACGCAGGAAACCCAAACCACACCACACCACAGGAGGGGGAGGAGGAACCATTGGGGGGGGGAGGGGGGGGGGCCGGCAAAACCGGGATCATATATGGAAATATAGATGTATGTGTATATACATATACATATACATATATATATATATATGTTGTGCGGGGGTGACCATGTATAGATAGAGAGAGAGAGACAGAGAGACAGAGAGACAGAGAGAGAGAGAGAGAGCGAGCGAGAGCGAGAGCGAGAGCGAGAGCTATATCTATACATATATATATATATATATATATATGTATACTTGTGTATGTATATACATATATACATATACACACAACGGGTAGGGTTGTTGGGGGTATATTCGACTACAGTCATAATAAGGGTCCCTAAGAGTAGTATTGATAAGTATTTCGGCCCCTATATCAGGGCTCATGGCAGCTAACGGGAGACGCACGCACCGATTCAGCGACAGTCCCGGAAGGTCCTCATCGGGGAGATCCACTTGGATAAACCGATCGAAGCCTGGGGCGACAAAAAGGGACGGTCTCAACCCTCAGCCCTCCCCAAAACCCCCGAAACCCCCAAACCCCTAAGACCCTGAAAGGAACCCTTCTAGACTTATAGATCCGTTGAAGGAACCCTCCAGAGATCCCTTAAAGGAAGCCGAAACCCCTAAATCCCAGATCCCTAAACCCCGAAACCCTAAACCCCTAAATCCTTCAACCCCCAGCAGCACCGTTGTTGTCAACACACTGCTGCCGTTGCTGGTCAGGCTGCCTTTCAGGGGCCCAGAACCCTCAGAAATAATCTTTAGCAACAGTCGTGATAATAGCAGCAATACTTGCAACCATAGCACTCATAGTAATCACAGTATCAATAGTAACAGCAGTAACAATACTAATAACGACTGGTGGAGCTTTCAGAGAACGGTCCCACAAGGTCGCGGCGGCCGGGTCGCAACAAGGCCGGATCGATGGCCTCGCAGATAAACACTTACCCTAAGCCCTAAACGGTTTAGGGTTTGCGGTTTTACGCTTAGGGTTTGCGGTTTAGGGCTTTGGGTTTTGAGTGTCCTAAACCGCGTTGTCCACGGTTATTAGGAAGACAGCGAATTTGGAAAATCCCGAGGCGAACGAAGGCAGAAGGGGCCTTAGTCCCTAAACCCTCCTATCCGCAGCATCCGATGTGGGGCTTCTGGTTTTGGGCTTCAGACTGCCGGCGCCTCCTGGCGATTCGTCGCTCCAAGGACGACGATGCCGTCGCTATGTCCATGAAACCTCTGCATAGCTCTTAGGGTTTATTCCGGGATGGGGCCTACTACAAGGGAACTACAATGGTTGAGGGCTATTTGGGGCTTAGGCCCTATAACATGGATTACGTTATATAAGGGTTTAAGACTTAGGATTTCGGGCTTAGGGCTCTGTGCGCAACTCTGTCCGTGCCTTGAGCCTCCTATGCAACACAGCAACTCACTCCGGGAGCCACGGCCCATCCAGCTCCGTGAGGATCTGGTTCAGGGTCTGCACATACTCCTGCAGATGTTCCGAGGTTTAGGGTTTCTGTTGAAGGATCCTTTCTCGGCAGATCCAAAGGGCCTTTTTGGACAGGTTAAGGGTGTAGGGTCTACGGTTTAGGATTTGGGACATCAAACTCTTTGATTCATGGAGGATTTGCCGTTTGCCTTCAGGAAATCGACAGCAAGGCTGTGATGGATCAGTGTGCGGATTCGAGGGTCCGGCGCAGCTGCAGGAACCCTCAACTCACCTTTGCAAACCGTGCGGCCTGATATAGGGGTCTTCATGTTTCGAACGGCGTTTTGGAGTAAATCTTACGATTTTTGCAAGTGACCATACGGGGATACGATTGTGAATTATTCCGACCTCTGTATTACGGCCATGGTGGTTTCTTAGCCGCACGTCTTAAGCAAGATGAGTCGCCCTGCTCACACATTCCGACCTGAATCGCTAGATACGGAAGCCTGAGTCTCAAGCCTTCCAAACCCAAGGTCTAGGGTTTTGGGTTTAGGGCCGAAATGCGCACTGCAAATCCTGCAAAGCCACGGACTCTCACCCTGAACAATCCATCTAAAGATCGTAAGCCCGATTCCGGCGCGTCGGCTAGAAGCTGTTTAATGACGCCCACATTGGAACAGACTGCAGGAGAAAGCAACAAAACCCCTAGCAGCAACCCTGCAAAACAAGCAATCCCTATGTTTCCGGGACACTCCAAAACCCCGTAGTTCAGGAAGATCCCTCAATGCAACTACAGGGAAGATCCCCTAGTCAAAATCTAGTAAGACCCTTGCTTAAAGAAGATCCCCTCAATCAAACTCCGGTGAGGAAGATCTAGACCCCAAACCCTAAACCGTAAACCCTAAACCCTAGACCCTTAAACCTTAAACCCCTAAATCTTCAATTGACGCACAGCAAAGCCCCTCGCGTCTCCTCGCCCCCGCCGAGCCCTCCCTGACCCCGACTGCGCGTGCCTTTTAGGGCTGTAGGGCTGTGTCGTTGTTCAAAGCTTTTAAGGATTTGATGGCTTCCAGAGCTTTAGAGCTCATAGGGTTTTTATCGCTTCTAGGGTTTCGGGATTTTGGGGCTTAAGGCTGTTTGTTTTTTTGAGGCTGGGGTGTGCTCTTTCTCTCCGCTGCACTGCCACTCCGGGCTCTCTCCCTGGCTTTAGGGTTTTAGGGTTTATGGTTTAGGGTTGAGGATTCAGGGTGTTCCAGTCTTCATGGCTGCGCGCATTGGGGTTCGGGAGTGGATGGTTTGGAGGAAGCCTGCGAGGCTGGGCGTCAGGAGGTTTAACGTTGATATAGGGCCTTAATAAGTCGAATAGGATTCTGGGGCCCACTATACTATAACTATGATAAGGAACCCCCAAAATAGTACTAGTACTTATTTCGGCCCCTATATTACGATTTCAGGGATTGGATTTTGAAGTTGAAGATGGTTGAAGATGGTTGAAGATGGTTGAAGCAAGCTGGAAGCGGTTCGAGTATTGCAGTCCGGGCTACAGATTGGACACACACACACACTGCTTAACAAATTGCCGGCGGAAGCAGCCCAACAAAAACGAAATCCCAGACCCCAACTCAAGCCTGAAACCAAACTTCTCAAACGATGAATGCTTTCATGTGCTGGAGCTCAAGCTGTTGCGTGCAACCGGGGTGGTGCAAGGTCTTCTTGTCTCTCGAAACAGGCTGAGACATCCTTAAATGTGCTTCCATGCCCCTTCGGGAAAGAGGCCGCACCTAGCGCATCCAGCTCGTCCAAGAAAAGCACCACAGGTGCCATGCTTCTTGCCTCGAGTCTCTAGAACCAGGCTTCTGGGTGCCGGTAGGTGTCAAGGCGCTCTGAAACGAGCTATTAACGCATATTACACTAATGCTGTACTTTAATATACTATAGTATACTATAACATACTATAGTATACTAAACAATACTGTGAATAATTAATGGTGTATCATTGTATACTACCATTCTGGCAACTTCGCAGCTCTGGGAACCGAGAACCCTACCTGTCTGAAGAGATCCCGAACTCTCGAGGCGCCGCGGCCGACGTAGACCTGGCAGACTGCTTGGAGGGGCAGGGGACTTAGTAAGTAGGCTATTATAACTAGGGTTATAATTGGGGCAACTCCATTTAGGGTACTGATAACTCTACTTAAAAACCTACTTACTAAGTCCCCTGCCCCTCCAAGTGCCCATGCGCCCCCCAAGAGCAGGTCCCTGGACCTCAAAAGCATGTAGAATAACAGCCTTTTATAGGTTTTAGACCATTCTTCTACCTACTTGTGTGGATCTGGGTCTATGCTACACTGTACCATGCTACACTAACCTCTACTAGACTAGACTATACTATACTAAGATGTACTATACTAGAATGTGATGCACTAGACTCTACTCTACTAGCCTACTATCAAACAGTAGTTGGAGTTAGCTGACACCTTACCCTCCGCTTTTTTGTCGAAGCTTTCGTGGGACGCGTGCGGGTTGGAAACGGCGAGCGGCAGGAGACTGCGGAGGTCTCCGAGTCTCGCTTCGAGCTTGGGGCTTGGAAGCCTTGCACTTGCGAGGTTGCATAATTAGAATAGGGTTTTGGGGCCCATTATACTATAATTATAATAAGGAACCCCCAAAATAGTATGACTCCTAGAGTCTTAAAGCCTTGCACTCGGTATGCTGGCATCACTGCGCTTGTAGAGTCATGGTTATACTGCTAGCCTACTTATACGGCTGCGGTTGCACCCCAGAGCTTGAGATTCTGACAGGGTAGCTGTCTTCAGTACACTTGGGGGAGTCCCGGATCAAAACATGGAAGATCGAATGCCCGGCAATCCAGGTTCATCTCACGTCCTCTTCCGGCAGGAAGGTCCTGTCATGTGTGAGATCACGGTTTTTGGGTTTGGGTTTATGGCTTCGAGCACATGCGGGAACGAAGGGGCATGGGCCAGGCGACCCTCGAAAATGAAAAACTTGTTATAAGGATTCCTTTGCGACCCGAATATAACCCCCAAATAGAAGAGAAGTCCTAGCTACAAGGACTCCGTTCAGGCCCCGAAGCCCTGAACCCTAAACCCTAAAGTCTAAACCCTACAGCCTAAAGCTTTAAACCTCTACCTTGCCCTCTTCCCTGGCTTTTTGCTTCACCGCCTTACTGTCCTCCTTAGGAGGAGCCACGGTCCTCCGTGAATTCGAGTGAACCTGGGGTTTCTGGGTTCTTGTTATGAAATCATGTATATAATGTGATATAATATAGTGTAATACAATACGTATATATGTGTGTATATATATATATTTATGTATATATGTATAGTTATCTAATTATCTATTTGTTTACGTAAGTCACCAGAAAGGGGATCTGTATTAACAGATATGGGTTCCTTATTCTGGCAACATAAACCCACTGCCTCAAGAAGAACCCAGGTTTCAGTTGCCGCCTTAAAGTGGCGGCTCTTTTCCTTCGGCCTAAACACTACAGCCTGCTCCCGATGGAGTGCGGCGGGTACGTGGGGCGAACCTTGATGGATCGGGTTTGTGAGGCTTAGCATGGGGGAATGCTTGTGGTAGGATCTCTATCTTTGTTGGAGCCGGTGTCAGGGCATAGTTGGCTAGAGAAAGCAATTGGAAAAAGCGTTTACACACGGCTGAGCGTGCTTGGCAGCTCCGGAGCCGGTCCGGCGGCCGTGGGGGCACTCTGCGCGTCCGTTGTGCCACCGGTGCGACCCTCCTCCTCCGCACGCGCCTCTTGATCGCCGCTCTGATATTCTACCAGCCCCATGGAATGCATTCCTAACCGGCGCCGCAAAGCAGCCTGCATTCGCATGACCCTGTGCCGAGAGCGGCTACATGCATGTAGCTCTTTCTCAATGTGGTGGACAACGTCGCGATTCTCCTGCGTGTCCTTTGCCTTCTGGGTCTCCAGCCTCAGTTGAGGTATTTCCATCAAGATGCAAAACAAGGTTTCCAGAACTGACTGCCAAAGCTCGGACGAGCTGCCGTGTCCTGTCGAGAAGCGTGCCTGTGACCTTCTGGCCCACCTGAATCATTAGTGGTGCTGTTTTTTGGGGGGGTTCTTACTTCAATTACACGGTAATCTACCAAAAGCCCGTTCCTAACTATTCACTCCGCGATGGTAGCAAGAACAGTTATAGGAACCCTTCTTCGAAAACAGTGAAGGAGCCCAGCTCTAACTACTCACCGCATATCAATATACTATAGCTGTAGTTGTAGGAATCTTTCCAAACAAAATCTCAGACAAAGGAACCCTAAACCCTATTCTAACTCATCGGGCCCACCAGCTTCTGCTTCGCTCTAGACTTGGAGCTGTCTGGCAGCTCCCGGATGTAGCGCCGCAGGTCGCGACGCCGATCTGACCACCTGGCGACTTCTCAAGCTCTTTCATAGGGTCTAGGGTTTAGGGTTCAGGTTTGAGGTCTAGGATCAAGCTCTTACCGCACCATCATACGAAAAAATCACAAAGAAGCCCAAACCCAAAGCCTAAACCTACAACAACATGATGACATCGACCCCGCCCCCTTTCCCGGCCTACTCTCTGCTTCGAGGACCCTGAGCCTGTTCGACAGCTTGTCCTCCACCTCCGGCCTCCGGGCCTCTTTCTTTGAGGGCCTATAGGCCCGTAACCGGGGCGGCTCCTTGCTGCCATTCCTAGTTCATGGTTGGGATAGGATTCAAATGTAGATGTTTATTCCTTATTGGGTTTAAGTACCTGTGAACATCTAAAATGTTACCCAACCATGACAAAGATTCCGGGATTTCGAGCCTTCGCTGTTGTAAGAGGAGAGGCGGGAGGAGGCGACGGAACCGCGGCTGTCTAGCCTTTGCTTCTCGGGGAGTACCTGCAGGAGGCTGCTCCGCACGGGTGCCTCGCGACCCTTCTCCTGCGAGACCTCTTCTCCGATCACTTCCGCTTCCGGCACGTCGGGCAAGTCGTGTAGCTGCACACTTGCATCCAGGGCCACTGCCGGCTGTGATGCAGGCTCTACTGCCTCGACTGGCTCTTCGGAGCAGGGCATCACCACCACTTCCGGAATCGAGGGCCTCCTTTCAGGTAGTGGCTCCAGCACCGACGGCTCAGAGGGAATTCGTCGCGGATATACGAAGTGATGGTGATCATGAACATGCTCATACAGGTGTACGGTCCTCACAACCGGCGCCTGCCAAGATGGTAATGCTGGCAGGCTCTCTACCCCTGCCAGTCTGCGAGCCTGGACAGGGTTCGTGTTGGGCTGTCGCCGCCTCTGAGGTATCAAAGGCAGCGCAGGTGCCATCACTCACCAACTCACCGTAAAAGTATAATACTACAACACTATAATGTATTCTAATACATGCTTATATTGCAGTATATTACAGTATATTATAGTAGGTTAAGTTAAGTATACTACAATATATTACAGTATATCACCCTTCTCGCAACAGTGCTCCTAACTGGAGCCTGGGAGAGCCCCTAAATGCTGCTGGAGAGCTACCAAATGCACAGGGATATTTGGGGCCCAGTATACAAAACTTATTTTTTAAAAAAAAGGAACCCCCAAATACTATAGACAAAACTTATAAAAAAGGAACCCCCAAATAGTATAGGCCCCTATATCAAGACAGCTTCGGGTCCCCAGAAGGCTGCCCCAAACTCTTCGGGTCACAAGCCCCCAAAACCCAGGGTTTGGGGTTTCGGGTTTACGGTTTAGGGTTTAGGGTTAAGGCTTAGGGTTTAGGGTTTTGGCCCCCCAAACCCCAATCCCTGGACCCTATGATTGAACCCCGAGCCCTAAAACCAAGTCTCGACCCTCTCCTCAGCCAGTCCAGGTGATCTTCTTCTGCGTGCACTCGTCGACAAGGAGCCTCCGGCGTCAAGAGCTATAAAAGGCAGGATTCCTACTACCCAGACCTTCCGAACTCCCTAAATATATGAGCATATCATAATTTGTATTAGGCTCCCGAATTAAATTTAGGGTAGGGATTTTGGAAGGTCTGCGTAGTAAGGGATTGCAGGCGATTTTTTTCAGCCTGAGGCAGTGACCCAGTCAAGCCCTCAATGGTGGGATAGTTGAACATGACAGTCGAAGGCAAGTTGACCTTGAACTCCTGGCATGCCCGGACGGATCACGCAGTTTCTTCGCAAATGAGCTTGCGAAGGGCATTTTTTAATGCAATGGCCTTTTCCTTGCGTCCAAGGGTTAGGGTTTAGGGTTTAGGGGTTGCACCTCTTTCAAAGAGCGAAGAAGCTCCATTCCGAAACAAGCGTGTCGTTGCCAACCCCTTGCAGCTGTGTTCGGAGCTCCACGCTTGCCAGGCTGTCCACACCGGACCTGGGTTCCAAGTAATTAAAGCTGAGAAGAACAGCAATAATAGTATATATGCAATATAACAGTGATGCAACACCTTTCTTACTGTAGTATTGCTTTGATATTTCTATCTCGCTACGGCTAGCGTCTGCGAGCAGTCAGCCACTGGCTCTACGTCATTTCTGGTTCTGGTAGCTCCCGGTCCCCAGATTCGAGGCACGAACTCCATGAGTGGCGTGTCACCGTCAACCTCGTCACCCCCACCGACCATGTTCTTCACCATCGCGATGATGTGGGTCCTTAGCACGGCAGGGCTCTCCGGACTAGGGAGTCTGCGTCTCTCACTTACGCCCTTGCGTCATGGATGCACTGAGCTCGCTACTTGATGGTGAGTGGATCTGGTGCAATGTAGGCCTTCGAGACTTGGCGCTTGAGTGCTTGGGCATCAGCGTCGCTTGACTCAAGGGTCACCACCGCATGCAACCCTGAGCTCAGGGCCAAGTCTTCTGCAGTGGCCGCCGAAGAGACACCACCAAAGTCCTTCCCGACCAAACGATCTAGGGTTTAGGGTTTAGGGTTGATCAGAACTCATAGTTGATAAGTGGTAGGGGTCTCGATTTGCACAAGGGACTTGCGCGTCGTCCAGCCTCTGTTAGAAGAAGTCCGACGGCCTATTTCGCGGTTGCGATTGAACCGCTGGCAGCATTTCTTCTTGGATGCTATGCAGTCGTGAGGTGTGCTGGGATTTTCAAGTATTGGCTTAGCAGCCGCAGCCTGCAATCAGCTTCTCAGCTCTCAGAAGCCCTTGTTGGATGAAGGCATGGGTTGCTCCGTGCACCCAGGAAGCTGACATGAATGGCAGGCATTCCACTCACTTCATGGCATGCGACTTCGACATAACTACACAAGTAGGGAACTGACATGGACAACAAGAAGACATGAAGAGGCGCTGAAGGGAATTGCTCGGATCAGGCTGCTTCAGTCACAACATCAGGACATGAGCTTGGCAAAAGCCCCACTTCTGTCCCACCTGACTCAAAACAAAGGTTCGTTCGACCTTCTCTACAGAGCCGCCACTTGCACTGGCAAGCGTGCAGATGCAATGTAGGCAGCACTCCTGTGTCGGGGCAGCCACCGCTGCAGCCTGTGGCGGAAGCGGCATCACAGAATCATCGTCGAAGTCCTTCTCAACTAAACCCTCCTAGATCCTGCTGAATGTTTCACTCTCCGCTGCAATCTCCCCACTGGTTCCCTCGCGCCCGCCGCGCCTGTGGGACAGCTTCCTGCACGCCCGAGCCTGGCAGGCTTTTGCACAGGATCCGCACGTCAAACCCTGTGGGTTCAAGGCTCCAAATAAACCCCACGACAAACTCACAGACCCTCGTGCATACTAGCCCTTATGGGAGTTTCCGAAAAGGGGAGCCCAATATAGTATCCTAATGTAGCATGAAGCCGCAACCCCACAAGCCCCAAAAGAAAGAAGCAAATCCTGAACAAGATGCCCGAAGACCGAAGACACACTGATTCAAAGAAACAAGAGCCCGAAGAGAAGAGCGAGCTACCCCCTAAACCTTAAACCCTCAGCTCTAAACCATAGACCCTAAACCATAAACCCTAAACCATACACCCTAAACCCTGAACCCGAAACCCCAAACCCTAATCCCTAACTCCTCAACCCTAAACCCTAAACCCTAAGCTCGGGAGGCCGCCCAGCACCAACTCCTTGAGCTGATCGGCCATGGCTTTGGCTGGCAGCAGGGGCGATGTTCTTCCATGACTTCTTCAAAGGGGTAGATGCGATAAAATATATACTATACTTCGACTATATTATTCATATATTCTACTAGATACTCTAATACACTCTCATAGAGTAACAACAGTATCAATAATAAACAAACAGTATAGGGCTTCATCCCTGAGGTTATCTAGGTCAGGGGAGAGATCTTCGTGCATGCTGGGCGGTCGACAGAAGATCGTTGAAGAGGACTTCTTCTGAGGGGTCTTGGCTTGGAGTTCAGGATAGGGCTTAGGATCTCGCAATAGGAGCGCTTCTCAGGGAGAGTAACTTTCCTCAGAGGATACATCCCGAGAACTGGCCCTGCAAGATCTTCGAAAACCCCCACCGGGCCCTGAACCATCTTTTAAGATCTAGGATAGTTAGCTTGGAGGGGCTTTTAAAGCCTTTGAAAAATATTAGTAGGTAAGATCCTCTTAAGCCCAATAAGAGAAATTCTAAAATGTCCCAAAGCCCTCCGTGCCCAAACTTCTGAGAACCCCGCTCTCCGCCCTGAACCCGAAACTCCCAGACCCCGAAGTGGACTCCGCAGAGAAGAAGGGACTTCAATGCAAACCCTAGAATAGTGTAGGGGCCTTAATAACTAGAATAGGTTTTTGTGCTTTATTATACGAATTAAAATAACCAAAAACCCCCAGAATAGTACCGGTAATTTACCAGGCCCCTGTGGTAGTAGGATCCCTTGAACCCCTGAGCTTGGAGGAGCCTTGCGGATCGCCAAGCTCTTCCGCCAGGCCCTGAAAGCCCATGACTCTGGACGATTAGGTTTAGGGTTTAGGGTTTAGGGCTTAGGATGGGACTTCTTCCGTGCTCCATCGTAGGTTCTTTGTCTTTTCCAGACTTGGTCGCTTTATGGTTCCTTAGTTTTTCGGGCTTGCAGAGCTTTAACGGGTTTCAGTGTGTTTGGAAGTGATTGTTGAGAGCACTTTCCGTCTTACCAGGTCCAAAGCTTCAGCTTGAAAAGCTCTTGACCTACGTGCTGGAGGTTCCGGATATTGTGGTGTCTAAATCCATACGTTTGAGGGGGGTATTGATTCAAGATATTGGTATTGCAGACAGGTCATAGGGCTTAGCGCCCTAGCTGGATAGTGTCAGTCAGGACTTATCACTTATCACTTTGAGGGGCTGGCTTTCGAGACCTCAAAACACAATCCGTAGCAGCAGCAGCAGCAGCAGCAGAAACTGCGGTACTCGTCGTTACTAGTTGCCGACATCATCGTCATTATCTTCATGACGATGATGCAGACGATGGTGATGATGCTGACGATGGTGATGATGGTGCTGGTGACAATGGTTTTTCACCAAACCCAACCATCCCCACCTGCACGTCTTTAAGGTTCTCTTTGGCACTCTTGACGTCCTTCTCTTGCAGGCAGATCTGCACCTGATAAGCAGCACAGAAGCCCGTAGCCTTAACTCGGTCATTATATCATATCATAGCCTAGTATAGTATAGTCTAGTATAGCGCACTAAAAGCATTAGACTTGTCAGTCTGGTCCAAAAGCTGGCTTGAACAGTGTTACACATCGACCGCCTCGCCCATTCAAGCCGAGTTCTGTGCCAGAAGCCCACGGGCATACATCTCGCTGAGCCTTAGTCTGCACCGATTCGGTGAGCATTGCATACCAAGTCAGAGAAGCAGGGGGCCCATCATATATCTGAGAACCCGACATATCCCGCTTGGACTTCGCAATCTCGAGCGACACATCGGCGTTGACGCGAGCTTCCTTTGGACGACCTGCGCCGTGAAGGCTAAGGACACAGGGTCGTAATTCAACAAGAGCTGATGCTCTGGTACCTGACCAGAGATGCTTAAACGATATTAGTAGGCAGCTATACTGATGGTGACTAAAAACTCCCATTAGGGTACCCATAACCTTAGTTGCTACGTCTCATGATCCTCCAAGTGGAGACAAGGCTTCTGACCCTAAACGAGGCAGGACGCAGCCAGGATCTCAGGGACGGGCCCATCATGATATGCATGGTTCCAACCTGAGCTTCAGGTTGATTGGCCTCCGGTTACTCATTACTGAATCATTTTTTCTGGGTCTACTACTCACGTGTGACGACAAGCTTCATCACGGAAAGTCGCACAGGCTGGGCAGCTGCGACCGCATGGTGTGGATTGGGACTCTCTGTACATAGTCTGGCATGCTCACACTTTGGACTTATTAGCCCACAATCAAACGGGAGGCGCAATATCGACAGCAGCAGTGAGCCCCGAGTAACAAAAACAAATCTGCTGAATTGGCAGATCCTGCAATGCCGTCTTATCTGTCGAGGCGGCTTCAAGATGCAGCTGTGACAAGACAGGCGAAGGAAGATGAACCAGTCCCAAGATTCTGCCAAGGGCACTATACTGCTCTCCCGACCTCTATAAACATTTTAGCGAAGCCAACCCTCACCTCATGAGGTGTTCATTCTCGTTCACTCTTGCTGCCACCCCTTGCTCAGAACCCTGAACACTAATACCCCTTGCCGGCGAGACACCCAGTAGTTGGCCATGCACTCTGCATATCGATCCTCCAGACCTTGTCTTAGCGGGTGGCTGAATAAGTAGAATGGGGGGTACTATGAAAGTTCTATAAAGGTTCTAGTCAAGAGGGTTTTAATCATTGGAATAGGGTCTGGGGGTGTATTGTAGTATCTTTACTTACGTGTAGTGACTAGAAGGGGCTACGATTGCCAGCAATAGCTAATCAGGCTTGCATGTGACATCCAGTAAGCTCTGTCTGCGTGTCAGTTTGGATTTCAGGTCAATGTACCGGCAGTGTTGTGAAAATGTTGTGCGGACGTATTCCTATTGGCGTGCTTTCTGCTCTGGTGACAATTCTGGCGTCCTACCGCATCGCAGCAAGCTAGAGCAATTTCCACACCATGCACCACATCTGACAAATGCTCGTCGCTCCAGAAACACACGAGATTTGGCTCTTCGAGGTCAGTGCAAAAAGAGCTTCGAGGCTGGACAAGGGACACACTCTGAGAGTCGAACGGATGCTCAACTTGACGCCTTCTTTCGCCAGCCGCATCGCTTTCTCACAGCCCTGCCTGCTGGTCCGCAGTCTGACCATATCAACAGATCATAGGCCCAATGCTGCAACACATGGGTAGTTTTCTGAAGTAGGGTCCCTTTCAGGGTCCTTTGTATTAAGAGTGCCGTACTCTTTTTGGGGAACCTAAAAAAGGGACCCTAATTTAGAGAACTACAAAAAGGGACCCTAATTTAGAGAACTACCCCACATGACGAAACTGAAGGACGACGCAGCCTGTAGATGCGGACTTTGCTCTTGTCCTGGATCAGGGGCAGGAGTCTTCTGTCTGGTGCTTAGCCGGGAATAGGGGCATGGATCCCTAAGGTAGTCCCTATATAATCCCAAACAATAGTCTCCATGATCCATTCCCCCATTACGTACAAAGAACCAGACGGTCTTGATAATGCGACCTTGTAAGCCCCGAGAAATATATAGGGGCCTTAAGAACTAGAACAGGGTTTTGGGGCCCATGATACTTTGATAAAAAGAAGGAACCCTCAAAATAAAGAGTATAGGTAATTAATGAGGCTCCGAAATTAATGTGACCTTGCAAACCCCGAATACGCTCTAAGAAGTCCTCTGGGTCCATCGCTGTCAGCGAGGTCACCCAGATGTCCATGGCCAGGAAGATGTACTTCACCGTCCTTAATAGCCAGAATAGGATTCCTTTAAGGCTCTTTAGAGGATAAATTGCCAAAAAATGTAAGAGCAGTAGGAAGATCAAAGTCGTGAGGAGTGGATGCGGAAATCGGCTGTAAGCTGCACTTCAGAGATCCCGGCCCTCTCATGTCATCATCTGCCCGTGAGAGCTTGATCGCTTCGGTAATGGCCGCTTTCGCCTGCAGCCGCTGACGACTCTTGGCATGAAATCGCCAGCTGGGATCCAGAAGTGTTTAGGGTTTAGGGTTTAGGGGTTTAGGGTTTAGGGGTTTAGGGTTTGGGGTTTTAGGGGTTTAGGGTTTCGGGGTTTCCGGGTTTAGAATTAGGGTCCAGAGGCCAGCACGAGGCGATGGGTTTAGGGTTCAGGACTCGGCGACAGATTGAAGTCCTGCCTCAAAGAGCCCTATAATGGGGCTATATAATGGGTATATAGTAGCTATATGAAGGGTATATACCTAGGGGTCCTGATTAAGGGTCCTTCCTTTTACCCTTGGACTGCCTCATCGTGAGCATCGGCCGACATATGCACCATCGACGTCGTGTGCCTCGGGACACATCCAAGGAATCCGGAGGGCCTCGTTTAAATGGCATCACAGGAACATCGTATCGAGCAACCGCTAAGGTTCAGACTTCATCCTTGCCATCAAGCGCGTGTCTCCCACGTCCGCGCAGAGAGTCTTAGCAGAAGCAGATGTTAGGAGGCCTGAAAAGGTGGGATGAAGGCAGGTGGGATTAAGGATCCCGTATATAAGGACTGTAATTTTCGGATTACACCACTACCTTCATCCCGTCCTTCGAGCCCTTTGAGATGTTAGGCATGCAAGACCCACAGGCAAACTCCCGCCGGCTCCAACTCCTTCCCAAAAAACAGCGCTGTAGAGGCATGCCCATGGCTGCACAACTTGCAGCCTTAGATTCAGGCATGGTTTATCCTCGTCTGTGTGCAGAGTGTTCAGTTCATATGTATATACATATATACATAAAATAAATGTGTATATATATATATATACATACGTATGTCTACATATGTGTGTATATATGTCGGTGTGTGTGTGTGTGTGTAAACATGTGTATATAATGGTACATATATGTATATACACATAGATAAATGTATCTAGTCTGCTATCTATACATATACATATACATATACACATAGGCATACAGATACTATGTATATACACATATGTACACATTTTCATTGACATGCACGTGCATGCACAGTAATGCACAGGGTGCAGACGCTAAGGGCAATGCCTCTGCTCGCTTTGCAGCTCGCAGCGCGGAAGAGAAGTCATTGGCGGTCATGTGAATCCTTAGTTTGGAGCTGAGGGAGCTGCAGTATACTATTGTGCAAGTATACTACTGTATGCTTAGAGTATAGTCTTACAGTAAAGTACACAACGATGGTAGTCCATATTGATACCACTGAGATCACCGAGACGCTGGAGCAAGAGCATTAGAGCAACAGAAGGGGACAAGACGAAGACCACTGATGTAGTTGCACGGCAAGGAGCAGCTTCGAAAATAGTAACCGAAGCTATGGCAACCAATTTCGGGCTGGAGCTTACGATTCGCGCTCGAGCTTAGACTCTGACTGTAAATAACGAGTATGATTACACTAAGAGGCCCTAAGGAATGGTGTTTGTAATTAGTCAGGCTTCCGAAGTACTGCCATTAAGTTGAGCTTACAAGTCGTTCCAAGCCCTGTGAACTGGCGCTCCCTCCCCCTACTTGGAGGATCATGGGACTTAGTAAGTATGGTTATAAGTACCTTAATTGGGGTTATACGTAATTATAATAAGTCTGTTACCTTAATTTTAACCCTAGTTACTAAGTCCTATGATCCTTTAAGTACCCCGTCACACGGAAACCTCCATCCGACAACACGGACTCCCACAGAACGAGGGCATGGACACTGAACCTGAAAACAAGCCCTTCCTCCAAGACGGGCCCAGTTTCCTATACTTGTACTCAGGAACCACCGAAATAGGTAATTATTAAGGCCCCTATATTACACATCCTGCCAAGGCTGCACGCAGCTGTGTGCCAGGCTCTGAGAGGCCCTCCCACACGCGGCACTCGCCTCTCCTGTGAGGACTGCGGCGGAGCTCCGAAAGTAGCTGCACTGTCGGGTTCTTGACTTGAGCTCCGAGCTTCAATTCCGGGCTGTGGTCTGGGCGATCGCTGCATGGTCATGGCTTGAGTCCAACTTACCTATGCTTAGGGCTTTCCAGCTCCAGTCAAGAGCAAGTTGCCCCAAGACTTGTCCAGGCTGTGGAACTCCCATGTTCAAGCAAGGCGTCAGGCATAGTTAGCATGGCGCAGTGGAAGCAGTTTCCTCGGTCTGAACAATTAGGAGTGCCTTTTTCCTTGAGGGTTCTTTGATGCCATCATTATATACGCCAAAACCTGAGAATCGTAAAGAATCAAGAATTGCGAAACCAACTCGAGACTGCCGCGCTCCACGCGCCCCGCAAGTACCGGACCAGCACGCGAGTCTACTCACAAGCGTGAGATAGGTGGCTTAATAACCAGAATAGGATTTGAAGGGGTGTATAAAACATAAAAGACTAGAAAGATAAATGACAATAAGATTTCAAGAACATGCCAATAAGAGAAATTGCAGATTATCAAACATGTATGGATTTCCGCTATTCTAAAGTTTAGAAAGTGTAGCGTTTTGAATGTACTTAAAACAAAATGAACACGCATTCCACTACGCTGCATCTGTTGCATTTGTTTTAACTAACATAACACAGAGAAGAGACATGTAATGGAAAAATTAGTGTCCTGGAATGACCTATTTTTCTAGTAGTAAACCTTAATAACGTATAATTAGTCTATATTCTACAACTAGTAACTAATGGTTGTAAACTATGGTATATCACTGATTACCAGACATTGTGATGTGCATGTGTTCAACAAAAGAGGCAGCTGAGGCGTCCTGTCACCATCCTCCTTGAACATGTCGATAGCCAGGTCGGCCGCCTTGACACCACAGGACTCGGGTCTAAGCTTTAGGGTTTAGGGTCCAGGGTCGAGGGCTTAGGGTTCAGGGTCGTATGGTTGAGGGTCTAGGGTTTAGGGTTTGATTGCTTAAGCGGCAAACCGCCCGCTCGTCATTCATGATCCCCGAATAAAGCACTGCAGACAGATCCTACATAATTCGAAACTGGAAACCTCCAGCCACAAAAGGCACCACGCTGTTGCGCAACGAGTGTCTGATTGGAGCTGGTGCTAGCATTCTGTGAGAAACAAACCAGGTTGCGTGATTCAACGGTGTGCTGGAACTGTGGCTGCACGGAGAACTGTTCCAAGAAGTGTCTGAGCTACGAAAGCGCAAACGAAAGGCGAGAAAAAGAGCAAGGGAAAGGGAGGCAAAGCGGTACTTGGAGGTTCATGGGCAGTTATAATGGGGTTCTAAGTCCCCTAATGTGTGTTTCTACCCTACTTATAAACCTACTTATAACGACCCATGAACCTTCAAGTAGGAGGTCAAGCCAAAGCACTGAGGCACTAAGGTCCAGGAGAAGATGCTCGAGCTTAGATTCAACCTGGATTCGAACCCTTTTCGGGTTTAGTTTTCTTTTATGGTTTAGGGTTTAGGATTTAGGGCTACCAGTGTTCGAATCTGTGCTAAACCTGAGTTTGAACAGTTGTGCGAGCTGAGTGCAACCCAGGTTCGAAGAACTGGATCTAAAAACCAGTCTCCAGGGACCTGAAACCGCGAATCCCAAACCAAGAAGCCCTGAACCCCCGAAACCCGAGCCCTAAGTCCATAGAGCGGCCCTGAGATCCTTCAACCCTTAGTAGGAACTCTCAAAAACGAACAGCCCTAAAGACGCCCTAAACCCTAAGCTCCGCAAAACAACCGCAAGCTTAAAACAAGTGGAAAACAAGCCCTCGACCTTGACGCCACCCTCGGGATCGCCGAGGAGGGCCTGCACACCTGAAGGAAGGACTTGAAGCTTCAGAGGTTCAAGGGTTTAGGTGTTAACATGTTACGGGTTTAGGGTTTAGGGTTTTTGCTGGGGCTTTCAGGTTGCGGGGTTTCAGTCACGGGCTTCACGCCTTCAAGTTTAAGGGGCTGTTGGGTGTCCAGTGCTTTCGGGCTTTTCCTTGCGATGTTTGGGGCCGGTTTTGGAAGGATGAAAGGCATTCTCCGGGCCGCCTCGGAATGCGCAGCTCAAGGATTCTTGGCTTAGAGTCTTTGGGTCTCAAGATGACACAGCCGGCTGGAACCGGGAGATTCAGGCAAAGCCAGATCCCTACCGCTCACGAAGAGCAGCAATCGTACAACATGGATGAATTGCCCTTTAATCCAAGGTAGGTGCGTACTTGCAGCTAAGCTCTCGACGGGACTGGATGGAGAGACAGAAAGCCTCCAGTGGCTTCTCTTCCTTGGAAAAGCATGGCTGGTGGCTTCATCTTGTTCGGGAAACTGCTTCCTGAACAGCAGTGCTTGAGCTTCAACAGAAGTTTGCTAGCGATTCTCTGTGTAGTAAGATAACCCTTAACCCCAAGTAACCTACCCTTTTAAGGACTTACAGGATCGCATGAGACGCTGCGTTACAATCTGTCGAGACTGGAGGTCCCTTCCTCTTATTATTATGACTGTTATTATTACGATTATTAGAAATCGTATATATATATATATATATATAGAGGGGCCTAAATGATTAGAATAGGGTTTTGGGGCCCATCATACTACAATTGCGAAAAGGAAGCCCAGAAATGGTATTGGTAAGAAAGTACGCCCCCATGTAATACAATGACCCCGAAACCTAGAGCAAATAGTATTGGTAATATTTTTGGCGACATATTTTCGAACCCTTAGAGATCACTTATAGTAACCTTTATGGACCCCTTTAACGGAACCCTATAGCAGATAGTATTGGTAATTATTTACGGGCCCTGGCACCCTTATAGACCCCTTTAAAGGAACCCTAGAGCAGACAGCATTGGTAATTATTTAAGGCCCCTATAATACCCTCAAGCACGACCGCGACCTGAGCGCCTCGCGATTTTCTGCGCGATGTCCTCAGAAAAATGCGAGCTGAGGCTTCCTGGAGCTTCTTACCTTCAGGACCATAAGGTTTAGGGTTTAGGGTTAACCTTAGGGTTTAGGGTTTAAGACTTAGAGGTTTAGGGATTAGGGTTAAGGGGTTTAGGGTTAAGGATTTAGGGGTTTAGGGTTTAGAGGCTAACCCTAAACTCCCCGAAACCGGAAGAACCAAACCTAAAGTTTGAGGGCTCCCGGCCCAGCTGATTGCCGAAGGCCATTCAGCCCGGTAATTTAGGGGCCTTGGGAAAAAAAATGGGGTTTGGGGTCATAGTAAACCATAGTTACAACAAGGACCCCCCCCCCCCAGAAAAAAAGAACTTTAGGCCCTAAACCCCGTTGGCCTTATTCAGGGCCCGAAACACCCTCTTAGCCTTCTTTAGTCCCCCTAAGCCCCCCCTCAGCCTTATTTAAGCCCATTTCAGTAGTCCTTGGCCATCTTAAGCCCTGAAACCCTAAACCTGAAAACCCTAAAGCCCTAAAACCCTAAAACCCTAAATCCCTAATTCCCTAAAGCCCTAAAGCCCTAAAGCCCTGAAGCCCTGGTCCTTGGCCATCTCGATCTGGGTGTGGGCCTCCTGATAGTTATCCTGGATGATCAAGACTTTCGTGAGGACCTCGGCTCGGGTTTAGGGTTTAGGGTTTGGGGTTGAGGGTTTAGGGTTTGGGGTTTAGGGCTTAAGGTTTGTGGTTTAGGGTTTAGGGTTGAGGGTTTAAGGTTCAGGGTTTAGGGTTCAGGGTTTTGGGTTCAGGGGCCAGCACGGCGAGGGATAACGAGGGGAGGTCTCTGCTTTAGGGTTTTAGGGTTTTTTGGGTTTGGGCTTCAGGGTTTAGGGGCTTCGGGCGTTTGGGGTTTAGAGTTTAGGGCGTTTAGGAGTTTAGGGTCCCCGATAGGATAGCCAAGGCTCTCATTTACACAGAAACACTGAAGACAGAAGCAACTCGGGTGAAAATAATTCTGATGCTGTGCCAGATCGACAACAGAATTCAATCATGCTGCAGTACATGACAGTGTGATGCTTTGAAGATTATATACTCACTCTCGTAACAACCCAAACTTGAAACAAGCATCACTGTAAGCTGACCGGCATAGCAGAAAGCCGTTTCCGGGCACAGGACCTGGAGTCGCGTGGTGATCTCGTCGTGGTCTGCACCCAAATCTTTGAGCAGGCCCACTGCTTCCTGTGGTCCGCGGCAGGAGCAGTTGGAACTAGGTCACAGGATTTTTGCACATGCCTACCTCATGGAAGCTGAAGCTGCGAGTACAATCCCAGAACCCCAAGTGCCTTTGCTGCATAGAGCGCATCGTTGTTCTGCTCTGCCTTGCGCAGGTCCGGATACTTGGCTCTGACTGCGCAGAAACGGGTCCATCGCACTGACAACCCTGTCTAATCGAGTTCCTCCCAGAAGGGCGAAAAAATAGCCTACTATGATGACAGGAATCGTGCGGAAGCTTTCCGAACAAAGCCTTTGCCTACATTGCATTTTTGAGCCGGCGATTGTTTCACAGCTGCTTGCAAGGGCAAGACATCCAACACCTCAGGGTATAGACTGGGTTTAGGGTTTAGGGCGGGTGTTTAGGGTTTCCCGGGACAGTGAAACGATGAAACCCACAGCTGACGGTTTGGGAGTCAGCCGCTGAAACCCTAACCCCAAACCCTAAGCTCTAAAGTTCCCCCTAAAGCCTAAGCCCTCAAATGGCACCCGAAACCCTCAACTCTACGATTGCAGCCCAAACCCGCCCCCCCCCCACCCCCGGCACCCCTGCGGCAACCCCCCGAGGCCGCTACCAGCAGATGAGCGTGGCTAAGCTCTTCGTAGACGTGCGCTTTCAAGCGCCTTCGGAGGCGACTCATCTCACAACCCCCAAGGCCCCGGATCCCCACTTAAAGGAACCCTTAAAGGAGCCCTTATGGACCATTCTTGAAAAGGAACCCTTGCAGAGTTCAGGGTTTGCAGGTCAGGGCTTGGGGTCTGAACGTCTCCTCGGCCAAACCCAAGCAACAAAATCCTGAACTGTAAAAATGTGGCCTTAATGATTAGAACAGAGTTTTGGGGATGTATTCTACTATACTTATAATAAGGACCCTCCCCCCCAAGATAGACAAGGTACTGATTTAGGCTCCTATATTATCCCACAGCCTCACAGCCGAGGCCAGGACATGCAGCCAACCTCTGTGGATAATGCCAGGGCTTCGTCTGAGACCTCGCAGCTGCGGTAGCTCCGGTGCTACATCTGAGGTACCCTAAACCCTAAACCCTTAAACCCTAAACCCTATGCCCTAAACCCTAAACCCAGACTGAATGAGGTCCAAACTGAACTTGTAGGGAAGAGGTGCCGATACAATCTTATACACTCCCTCTAGTCCCGTGTAGTAGCCCTTCTAGGTGCAGGTGCCCAATATCCAGCGGAAAGCCTTTCAGAAGGGCTCAGCACCCAAGTTGCTGGAGAAACTGCATTCTTTGGACCATACGGCCGTGATGCAAGTACGTAAGTACAAGTCGATGGAAAGACAATAACGGGCTGCTGCAACGCTTCCGTAGAGCCATAAAGGAAGTCTGTCTTCTTGGCATGGCCGACCAAAATCGTCACGCATGCATATGGCATATGCACATATTACAGGCTCCCCAGGAAAATTTTTCAGCACCCACCAAAGACGGGCTTCTCTAAGTCCGGTAAGCCGGGCCTCCACCGGAACCCGCAACCCTCAGGGCCTCGAGTACTTGGTCAATGTCGCCGTAGACGGACAAGGCGTGGATCAGATGATGCAGGAGGTAGACAGTCTGGCCAAGAACAGCTTCGTGAAGCTAGCTTCCTTTAGGGGATTGCAAGGGGTTTGTGTTCGCTGACGTCTAAACATTAAGAGGCAGCTGCACGAGTTGAGTAGAGATTACACGCCAGCAGCAGATCGAACCAACTGCAACTGAGAACCGGTCTACAATAAATTGCGGCCCGGAAACCGAAGAATCTCCCTCAACCTTAACTACCCTAAACCCCGAAACCCTAAACCCGAAATCCTAAACTCGAAGAACCTCCCCAATGCCCCCGGGCCAGCGCAGCACCTCCCTCTTCTGATCCGTGCGCGGCCGCGCGCGCTCCAAGGCCTCCTTGCAGAGCTGCACGGCCTGCAGAAGCAAGAGAGTAGCAAAAATAACCCTAATAACAATTATAATAGTAATAGCAAGAACAATAGTAATAATGACAACAATACAATAACAATGGTAATGATAATGAACATAAAGGGACCGTTAACAGTATTGGTAGTAAGAGAGTAGTAAAGCTAATCATGAAGATAAAAACAACAGTTACAATACTAGTAGTAACAATAATAACACTAATTACAATGGTAGCAATAGTAATCATAATATTAATAAGAACAGTAATATTAACAACGAGAATAGTGAAACAAATAGCAGTGTAGTAGTAGTAGTAGTAGTAGTAGTAGTAGTAGTAGTAGTAGTAGTAGTAGTAGTAGTAGTAGTAGTAGCAGTAGTAGTAGTAGTAGCAGCAGCAGCAGTAGTAGTAGTCGTCGTTGTGACACTAATAGTGACAGTAGTAGCAATGATATTGTTCTTAATTGGATATGATGATGACGAAAACGATGATGATTATGATGATGATGGCGGCGGGAATGGCGACCAAAAAAATCCCTTACACAGTGTGTGTAGTATCACCTGTACATGCGACCACAGATCGGGCGCTGTCCCATGCGTGGCTATGGAATTCAGCCCAGAACTTCCAAAATCCCTCAATTAATGAATACACCTTCAATAATAGTACCACAAATAGGAAAAAAGTGTATATACCTTCATTAATTGATTTTGGAAGGTCTGGGAGTAGCAACCCGCAGGCCAGGCCTTCTCAGACTGGTTGTTGAGGATGTACGCTTCTACGAGGAAGCCGATGGCGACGCCCTTACAGAAAAAAAAGAAACACAGCTCTGACTCAGAGAGCCGCAAGTGAGCCCTGCCTCCCAGGCGAGTGCGTCATCTAACTCCTCATGACTGGACAAAGTCACAGTTTCATGATGCTGCATGATTCGAAACAGAGCATAGAGCCCTGGCTTCTGCCTGCGACATCACCAGAATGCCAGGTCCGATACCCGAAACTCTGAGCTCTAAAACCTGCAGAGCTCCTGAAGGAGTGCCATGGCGGCCTCACCCATGGAGAGCGACAGCCGGGCGTCCTGGCGCGTGAGCGCATTATCATGCGGGGGTCTGTAGGGCTTTGAGTGGAACTGATGAAGGTCTCTTGTGTCGCTTGGAGCTTTGACCTGTCGGCCTGGGTGTCCCAACGCCAACCCCCGAAGCATCAGCCTAAACTACGCTCTGTTCCATCTGTCAATCACTGGTTCCGTTGCCAGCGTTTTCTTAACTCCGACTTCCTGTTACCAATACTATTTGCAAGCTCGCTGCTGTAGTAAGACCGTGATGGCTCACGGCTTGGGCTAGGGTCCGTAGAGCTTGGGAAGTGCCTCCCGCATGAGGTAGAACTGGCCCAGAGCGAGCAGACTCGCCATCTGCAGGGCAAGAGGCCACGGAAAAGGTTTAGGGCTTAGGATTTAGGGTTTAGGGCCTTCAGGGTTTAGAGGCCGGGCCAGACAAGATGGTTGAGACTTCCACCCCCGACCTGCTGCTTCTTGGAGCCACTTTCTTGCAAGATCCTGGGTCGAGGTCCATTCAGACTTGGGAGTTTCAAGGCTGAGCCCAGCCACACAGCTTCCGAGCTTGCCCGTCGGCCGTTCATCCCAAGCCGAACTCACAGGGATAAGCATGGAAACGACGGCCTCCCATAACTGTCGAAAGATAGAGCCAGGTTCGGACGACAAGTCGTAACAGAATAGAATGTAAAGCCGTAGATGGAGAGACATACCTACATAGTACATAGTACATGTATATAGACATGAACATATATACATATCTATGTACATGGTACATATCTGCACGCCCGGTGGGCACGGTAGTATAGAGTACGTTTATGGTCATTTACCTTTCTGACCTCGGAAGCCAAGAAAGAGCGTCATACTCTGCCAATCCCGCTTTGTGGAATTATTAAGTATCACATTTAAGCCCTAAACCCTAAGCCAAATTCTGGGGAGCGGGCTTCAAAGACTTTCGGCCAAGACGGATGGCCATCTCTAAGACCTCGTAGACGGGTGGTGGGCGAGGGCTGGAGGGTCGAGGGCTTAGAGGCTTGAGGCTCATAGTCAGGTTTCAGAGTAGGAATCTGAAGATTTTCGAGGCTTTCTCAGGGGTTTAGGAGGGCTTTCCTAAGGTTTCAGGATACCGTGACTTTGTCTTTACTCTTCGGTAGGAGGGTGGAGTGTGACGGCTGTTGTCAGGCTGCCCCACTTGCAGCCTTGGTCGAAGATGCTAACGGGCCATCCAACAAGGATCTGGGCTCCCTGCACCTGCCCTGGCTTCGGTGGCCGCGCCCATGTGTAGAGACATGGCCTGGCAAAACCGCATTCCTTCCTGGCTAATTTTGCGACGGAGCCGCTGGGTTTAGGGTTTAAGAACCCTAGGCTGGGTTTAGCGTTTAGGGCTAAGAACCCTAATCTGGCCCTCCACTTGAACCCTACTTGAAGGATCATGGGACTTAGTAACTAGGGCCATTATGATGGTAGCTAAACTTATAACTACTTATAACCCGAATTGAGGTACTTATAACCATGCTTACTAAGTCCCATGATCCTCTAAGTGCAGCTTCCCACTGCACATCCGCCGGGACGGCCTGGCAGAGCTTGTCATCGATTCCCTTAAAGATCTCGGTGGCCTTGCCACAGCAGGAGTTTAGGGTTTAGGGTTATAGGATTGCAGGTTTTGGATTTCGGGTTGAGGGCTTACTGCACTATTTGATACCCACCCTGGCACAATCTGTGAACCCCAATGCCCTTACTTAGCCCTACCATAAGCTCCACAACATATTTACCTGTAGGTTTGGGTAGTTTAAACTACACCTTACCTTCCTCTGCACTGCAACCCCAACTTGGCCTCCGCTGCAGCTCTTCGCGCCGCGTGGAAGTTCCGCTTACGGAAGTACACCTGTCACGACCGCTTGGGATTCAGGGTGTAGGGTCTAATGAGTCTAGGGTGTGGGCTTTGGGGTTTAGGCCGGTTAAATCCTGCCGAAACTTCACTAACCTTCAAAACCCATCCATGCCCAAACAGCAAGATATGGGGATACCAACGGTAATCCTCCTGTGTTTTCGTTTCCAACTTTACGGGATCTGCTGCAAAGGAGCTCAGGGACTCGCACTCAAGATTGATAGTGACCGTGCTTGCAGACAACTCGAGGTTTGCGTGTCCAGCGCTCTCAGCATCCAGGCCACAAAAAAGGCTCGAACCCAGATCTCCATCCTGTTGATGGACAAAATCCTGAATGACCCTTAGGACTCTAAACTATGGGAATTATGGAATATTCCTTATAATGGGTAATGCAGGATTTTGTCCATCAGCAGTCCCAATACGCGAAGGTCTGGGGAATCCCTGAAAGGTTGCGTCACAAAGGCTTGCCTGTCGGACGACTGCAAGGCCGTTTGCCCCCCAAAACTTCAATCCCTCTCATCCTTCATCGATGCCCCGATCCCATGGCAGGCCCCATTAAACCCTCTAAAGAGACCTTTAAAATCCCGTGTAAAAAACTTAGTTGACACAAGCCCCAAGAAGTGCACACTTTTAGTTTTATAGTGGGTCAGATTATCCCAAAAAGTGTAAAATGTAGCCACTCAGCTACTAAGAAAAAACCAAAAACAAACGAAAGAACGCTAGAAATCCACCCGGCCTCTGCGACGCTGAGCGCGGCGAGACCTTCGTACTTGGGATCCTTGACCTGCAAGCTAGGAGGTTACAGAGGTTGGGCTCCTGTTTAAGGGTTTAGGGTTTAGAGGATAGGTTTAGGGGTTTAGGGTTTAGGCTCTAGAGTCTAGGTTTTTTTTGAGTCTAGGTTTAAGGGTATAGGGTTTTGTTGAGGGTTGAGGGGCGTGGGGATCGCAAGCTTGAGTGGCGTAGGGTGTTGGGTTTCAAGTCAAAGCAATTATGGGTTTAGGGCTTCAGGCTATAGTAAAAGCCAGAAAGTTGGAACATGGCTTTAGGAGGATTAGTGCTGGGATCCCTTATACTTTACCTTAAGGGCATGAGGATAATGATGTTCCAACTTTCTGGCTTCTACTATAGAAGGAAGGGCTGAGGGCAGGAGTAAAGCAAAGTGTCTGCTTGAGACCTGGGGCTTTACTTAAGATCGTAAAGCTTCCATCGAAGGCTCTCCGTGAGGATTCATGGGATTGATAAGGGATATATAGGGATGTGTAGGGGTCGATAAGGGGCCTTTCGGGATTTATAGGGATTTATGTGAGGTCTAATTCTCGGGATTTAAGAGGGGTCTATAGGGATTCATAGGGGTTTATAACGGCTTGACTTGCTCACACACCCACAAAAACTGCAAATCCTAAGCCGTTCCAACCCTGAACCCCCAACCCCGACTCAACCCCTAAAGCCCCAAAAAACCGTCTCAAGCCTAAACCGTCGGCCCTTTCTCCGAACTGGAAATCCCCTGGTCGCCTCGCGGAAAATCGCCAGCGCTTCTTCGGCGTTCTCAAGCGCCTCCCAGAGACTGGAATGTACGGTTTGACAGGCCCTGGGCCGCCTCGGAAATCGGAGTAATCTTGCTTGGAGGGGCAGGGGGCTTCGGTCATACGTAGAGTTATAATAAGACCTAAAATGAAGTTACCCCAATTATAACCCTACTTAGAACCTACTTACTAAGTCCCCTGCCCCTCCAATTAGACCTCAAAATTCGGACGATGATCCTTTGGGGGGGTCCTTGGCAGGATTGATTGTTTAAGGGATCTAGAGGCTTTTTAAGGGTTCAGGGGGCCTTCATGCATAGAATGGGGTTTGTGTGGTCTAGTATACCATAGCTGTAACAAGAAAAGGAACCCTGCGGAACCATCTACCTCAACCATAAAGTGATGAGAAGAAGGGTCATATAGGGACTGAATAATGAACGCTGGTTGCAAATTATATCTTAAGTTATAAGTATAATATGGGCCCCTGGGGGAATAACATTGGAAGTTATCCGAAAACTGTGCAGATTTCAGCAGAACATCAACGAGAACAGATCTCAAACCCCAGCCCAAACCTATATAGTACCCGAGCCATAGACTCGGTAGCACCCGCAAATCCCAAACATGCCGTCAAGCAGCAAAACCGTACGCTAAGCGGAGCAAAGAAGGTTGCCTCGTCCCGCTTGGAGCTTCCCCGGTAGGCGCAGGCGGCTTCCGCCATCGAGAGCAGCATACAGCCCTGCAGGGGTGAAGCACATCGAACATGAAGACGCTTCCAGTTCCGGGGCATGAAAGGCACCAAGAAATTTATTGGGGCGTTTGCTTGTAACAGGAGGGACCACAACATGGAGACAGGACCCAGTAACATACCAGAATGCCCTTACAGTGATGGAAGTCTCCCTACCATCCAAGCCCTCGCCCCTAGCCCAGGTGTGAAGCAGCACCGCCGAAGGCGCCCATGTGCACCGCCTGCTCCCAAACTGGAGAACGCATCTAAAATCCGTGCATCGTCCGCCTGACCAAGGTCGTCGCCGGCGTCTCGGTAGTTCGAAAGTTCCTGCACAGAGTCCACGCAGTACACTTCGGGCTCAGCTGGGCATGGGTAGGGCCAAACCTGGATAATAGTGGAGGCGGGCTTGCACGTCTAGAGGAATTCAGTCGCTCCCGCGTCTCCGCCAGCTACTCTCCCAGCATGTCACGGCAACCAACTCTGACCCAACCCGTAAGGTTCAAGGATTCAGGGCCGCCGTAGTTACAATGCCGGATAACGTGCCTCCTCTGCCATAGCTTCGGCCTTCTCTAGCAGCTCACGAGCCTTGGAACGCTCTGGGAAGCAGATGGCTTCGGACGTTAAGTGCATCAGGGGCTTATATGTGACGTTCTAGACTATAGACTGTCTTAGAGGGATTGTTGCGGAATGTAAGTTTTCCGGGTGCCGGGCACTGTCTCTCAGAGCGCACATGCTGCTGCCCTGCTGCTACCCGCATCTCCGCTGCAAGCAGGCTTGCCGCAGGTAGCACAGCATGTCGGCTGTCACACGTCTAAGCTCAGCACGTCAGCTCGTTCGCCTTTGTTGCGGGCCTGCACAATTCAAAATCACGAGATGCGCTGGAAGCCAGACAGTGCAAGCGAAGTGTTGGAGTAGCAAACCGCAGCTGGGATCAATCAACCCATCGTCAAGCAAGCGCCTCGTCCGCCTTTGCACGGTAAACGTGGATAACTAGTCGGAGGGCATCGCGTGTACCTGCATTTCTGCTTTCAGCAGAGGCCTAGACGCTGCTCATAGTATCCGCAATCAATCGCTGAAGAGGAAAGTTGTGTGACATGTCTATCAAATACTTGGTCAGGGGCAAGGGAAGCAAGGTCCCGAACATTTACGCCATGGTGGAAAAGATCCGAGCCTCTTTCGTCACCCTCTTCTCTGAAAATTTCCAGGCAGCCTGGAACGGGCCACGTGCAGATAATTTACGGGCGTTACTAACTAGAACACTGTTTGGGACTCATTGATAACAAAACTTTATATTCAGGCATCAAAATAGCACAGAAACCCGAGTGCTTCAAAGACCCCCGGCCTTCAGACGCTGTCGTTGCCTCTTCCAGGTCTCCATCCTCTATCTGCCCTTCTGTCACGCACATCAGCATGGCAGCCTGTCTCATAGCAGGGTTTAGGGTCTAGGGTGACAGGCTAATATTGGAGGCCTCCAAAGGTGGGATGAAGGTAGGTAGGATTAAGGATCCCTTATATCAGGACTCTTATGTTTGCATTAGTTCACCCCACAAGACAGCAAAGATTTGCGCGACGCCATACTTATCATGTCTGCAGCACCTCTATACGATAGTCTCCTACTCAAACACATTGCAGAAGGAAGCATGCTGGCGGCTGAGCCTGTTCAGGCATCTTGGCAATGCTCAACAGCTATGTGCGAATTTCTTGCAGCTCGTGAATATGATCACACGATAGTCACCCCAAAACCCTATTCCTACTACTACTGTTATGATAATGATTATCCTTTGTATTATCATTCTTATTACTGTGATAACTATTGTTATACCTTCAACTATTATTGTTATTATTATTACTACTATACTTCTACTATTATTATTGTATCTATTATGAACATGATTTCTATCATTATTATTGCGATTCTTATTATGAAGGCCCTCGCGTTTGCATCGCTCCTCGCGGATCCTGTCATTGGCTGCTGTGGTGTCAGCATACTTGCCTTGGTTTAGGGTTTAGGGATTAGGGGATAGGGGATAGGGGATTGGGGGTTAATTAGGGGATAGGGGATTGGGGCTTAATTAGGGGATAGGGGATTGGGGGTTAAGGGTTTTAGGGGTTTAGGGGATAAGGATAAGGGATTAGGGGTTTAGGGTTTAGGGAGTGGGGTTTAGGGTTTAGGGATTACGGTTTAGGGAGTAGGGTTTAGGGATTAGGGATTGCAGAGTTTAGGGCCGAAGGAGTCCAGGGTGTATTGTTGAGGGTGTCTAGGGCTTGCCACATCAAGTCCTCCTGCGTCGCAAGCACTGAGAACTGCAGCATGCCGACGCACTAGCTTCCGGATCGTGGCATTGACAGCACACTGGGTCCCCGGCTGTAGAAAGGGCTGAAGTGGTCAATAACAGTATGACCACCCTGGCAACAAAACCGCACATTGTATTTTAAGGTTCGGCAATCGACTCAAATCTTCTGGCTACGGGCGTCAGCTTCACCTTGAAACCCTGATCCAAAGCGGCTACGCTCCTGAAGCGTCAAAGAGTGCCTCCCAAACGCGGTCCCGTCCCCCTTTCTTCGCGTCCATGGCTCCACCAGCCGACCTCGAGGATTCAGGGATTAGGGTTTAGGGTACTACAAGGGTTCCTTTAAAGAGATCCATAATTGTTACTTTAAGGGTACTGTAGGGCTCAGGGATAAAACCTTGCATCACCCATACTGAGGAATATACCTTAATTCCCATAGCCTAGGGTCATTGAGGTAATGCAGGATCTATATCATAAACCGTAAGCGGGGGTTGGGAATCTTGCTATTAGCACCGACATCTCTGCTACCAGGAACCTGAATCGGAAATCTCTGCCTTATGGAGTTTAGGGTTTAGGGGTCCCATATAAGCCCCGGAGAAGAGTGCAATGAGCTCAGCAGGCTGCTTGAGGGCACCTTTTGAACAAAAGAGGAATCAGCATAAGACAATCGACCGCCGAGAGTGTTACGATATTAGAGGAAAGGCACGGCCTCTTAGTGGAATCTCACGCAGGCACATCCAAACATCCGCCCAAAGCCGAAACGATGATACAGGGGCCTGAATAACTAGAATATAGGGTTTTGGGGATACTAAACTATATATACTTACAATAAGGCACCCGCAAAATAGTATTCGCAAGTACTTGGGCCCCTACTGTTGATGGACAAAATCCTGGATGACCCTAAGGACTCTAAACTATGGGAACTATGGTATATTCCAAAAAATGGCTAATGCAGGATTTTGTCCATCAACTGGTTTAGGGCTTAGGGTTTAGGGTTTAGGGTTTAGTATAGTACAAAAAAAGACGCCTTCAACTTTAGAAGACCTCCGCCTCCGGCCCCCCGCGTGGGGCCCTGGCCACGCGGCTCTCGGCGCTCCCGAGCCGGGCCCCTGGGTGCCTAGGCCCCTCCTTTGACTGGCGCGGGCGCCCACGGGGAAGAAGGCTTGGGAGTTTAGGATGGGGGCCTTCGTAATTAGAATAGGGTTTTGGGGCCCAATATTCTATAATTACCTTAATACTATTGCAAAACGGCCCCTGAATTAGTGGCTTGTGTAGCCTGGGGGGGGGGGTTCGGGGTTGAGGGTTTGGGGATAGGGTTGGGAACTGGGGCTTCGGAATTTCAGGTGTCAGGTCAGAGCAATGCATAACTTACCACGTTTAGGGTTTAGGGTTTAGCATTAGGCTTTAGGGTTTAGGGTTTAGGGGGACCCTACCGCCGAACACCTTTCCAGCTACATGCACGATGCTGCGCGAGCGAAGCATCTAGGCGGCCCCAAAGAGCAGTCGACACAGCCAGGGCTTTTCAGAAAGATACCTGTCAGGCCTATCAAAAGATCATGCTACATGGCGCAAGATGACGTTAGCAATATACGCAATGCAAGGAAATGGTCTCCGGAACATTCCAACGAGCTTGAGACCGACGTGCAGGCCTCGACGAACTCCGAGGCAGAGGCACTGAGGAAGCTGCAGTTTGCCTTCCGGGGGTTTAGGGTCTAGGGTTGATTCTGCCAGCGAGTGTTCGATGGTAGAAGTGAGGACGCATCCTGAAACAACAGCAAGTACCATTTCTGAGCTCGGAGCTCTAGATCTGGAGCCGGGTGAACTTACCCTCTCTAGGGAAGCGAAGAATGCGCGAGAGTGAGCCAGGGCGAAGCTCGCGAGTGTGATGGAGAAGAGGAAGTAGCAGAGATGGAAAGACCAAGCAGGCTCCACGGCTCGCGGAAGAGCGGGCGAAGGGTTACTAAGCTGGTCAGCAACGGCAAGGGCAAAGCACTGGCATGCTAACACGACCCATGACCCTCCACAACCTTGGTATCCACTATGCCCCAGGTGTACCCCTGAATAAATTCTTTGGAAGTTGACTGCAGGTACCCTGAAGGACCGCAAAGCTCCCTCCAAAGGTGGCATGAAGGTAACATAGGGGCCTGAATAATTAGAATATGGTTTTGGAGCCCAGTCTACTATGTATAAATGCAATAAGGAACCCCCCCAAAATAGTCTTGGTAATTTGTTTGGGCCCCTTCCCACTCTTGGAGCCCTTTTATCCACACCTCACCGGCAACTGCTCGCGCCAGCAGGGTCTTCCCCGTGCCGCTTGGGCCTCATTCGACGATGGCACCGCCACTTCTTGGAGACAACTGGCCGCCCCTTTTTTTGCAAACCCTCCTCAACCCTCAACTAGACCCGAAACAGCCTGGAACGCTGCCAGCCACAGACGTATGCAGCAGGATCAGCCAGGCGAGACGGCAAACAAAGTCTCCAGAGCCAAGCTTGGCACTGCTGGCATGTGCTGGCGAACCTGCTGACCAGCCCTCTCCAGGTTCCCCCACATACGTACTACTTAGAGGATCATGGGACTTAGTGAGTATGGTTGTAAGTACCTGAATTAGGGTTGGCTATAAGTATAGTTACTTAATAACAACCCTAGTTACCAAGTCGGATGATCCTTTAAGTACGATTCTTGTTTTCGGACATAGAACCCAAGTTCAAGTAATCAGGCCTCCGGAACCCAAATCAAACCTGCACCCTAAACCCCTGAAACCCCAATCCTAAACCTCAAACCTCTGAACCCCGCATCTTTGTGAACCTGAATCCAAAAGGCATACCAAGGCCCCAGCCGACAAGGAGGGCCCCACGAGGCATTTTCGCACCGGCCTTGTGTTTTTGGTTTAGGGTTGAGGTTCAGGCTTCAGGGTTGAGGGCTTAGGGTTCTAGAACTTGGGGTTCAGGGTTTGGGGCTGGGCTTTTCGGGTCTAGGAGGGTTTAGGATGAAGGATCCTATCCGCTCGGATTTAGCCTAGGGTGATACAGAGGTCGGAACACTCTTGCAGATTGTAGAAGAATATCGTCGAGCTCAGTGGGCAGGGTAAACGGATCCCTTAAAGGATCCATTTAAGGGAACCCTTGTGGGAATTCGTGGGGTTGGGAATGAGCACTTCGCGAGACCAAAACGAAGGATTGGACCCGGTTGCTTAAGTCAGCTTCACTTCTCATTCCCCCGACCCTAAACCCCCAAGCTGTCGGGGCGCCTCCTTAAACTTCGCAGGGTGGTTCAGGTATTCCACGATCTCACTGAGCTCAACCTGCTGGTTTATGAATAACCAAGGGATGAAGGGCGTCGGTACATGCAGCATTGGGGAAGTGTGCGCCGCTAGCTCATAAATAGAATGGGATCATGTTGAATGTAACATATCATATCTTATGATGATAGCTCAATAATATAACTGGAGACAAGTTCTATCCGCTCGCATAGCGCTGGCAGCCTTGCTGCGGCTCACAACGTCCGCAAAGGTCGTTCTTTCTCGGGGCCTGTCATTGGCCGGACGGCGGTGTCTGCAGCAAAAGGCACTTTAGGGAGGACTACGGCAACTACTGCGCTTTGCAGAACCGTCTCCCAGCAACACAGGCACGGTCCGCAGACGACTTCTTGTCGGTGTCCACTTGTTTTCTCGTGTGATCAGTGACCTCAGTTGTGCGGCTTACGCGATGCTACTGCGCAGCCAAGCTGTTCAGATGGTGATGGCAACACGAGCGGTTGCTGGAAGGCTGCGCCTAAACCTTTAATCGTCAAACCTACACCCTAAGCCCTGAACCCAAAGCCCTAAACCGATGCAGTCGACAAGCTTCCGAGGCCTGGACTTTGCAACCTGATACCACACAAATAAGAAGATCAAGGGCAGCAGCAAGGAGAGCGCCTCTCCGGAGGCCGCTTGGACTTGCTTAGAGGATCCTGGGACTTAGTAAGTATGGTTCTAAGTACCTTAACTGGGGTTATAAGTAGTTATAAGTATAGTCACCTTAAGGATAACCCTTGTTACCAAGTCCCATGTCCCTTTAAGTGGATCCTTTTTGAAGACTGAGGATGGGGACCCTCGAGACAGAAACTTCAGGCTTTTGGGTTGAAGGTGTAGGGCTTACGGCTTAGGGTTGAGGGCTTACGGCTTAGGGTTTAGGGCTTAGGGTTTATGGTTTAGGGTTTAGGGCTTAGGATTTACGGTTTTAGGGCTTAGGAACTCCCCTCTTCTTGCGTCCTCTCTGTTCTCCAACTCCTACTCTAAAGGGCCTGTTCAAGTATTACAGTGTAGGAACCTGACTAAGAGACCCTAGTTGTATTAGGGCACTGACTATGAATCCTAATATTTTGACGGTATAGGGCAAGGATTTCATGATCAGGTTCTGAACCGTAATCAAGGATCCTACGGAGTAATGTTGGTAATCGTTTGGGATTCTATGTTACACAACAGCTACTACCAACACACTAAACCCTAAACCCCTAAACACTCGAAATCCTAAACCCCTAAACCGCTAAACCCTAAACCCTACCCCACACCCGCTAAAATCCTGGGCCAGGCGTTTTCATGGCTCCGGGGAGCCTGGGAGGTGCCCTTTGCTGGTGCCGCGAAGCGGAGGGAGACCAGGGCCTGCTACAAGAGCGCACGGCTCAGAGCTGGGTTATACATACTCTGTACATATCAACCTCTATATGTAAGTCTGTGTGTATATATATATATATATATGCTATATATAAATATATATGTTATATATATATATACATATATATATATATATGTGTGTGTGTTATATTATATATATATATATATGTTATATATATATATGTATGTATGTATGTATACGTACATACATAGTGTAATATTATGAAGTATGGCTTATGGCTCAGGATCTACAGGGTCTATTGGGTCTAGGGCTCGGAGTGCCGCGAAAGCTCCAAATGAATGTAGGTGCCAAGCCCCACTGCATTTCGGAGCGTTCACCCCTGGCTGCCTGTGCTCCATCCTAGAGCAATCGAAGAAGGAGCCTGTCACCTTCAGCATCCTCCGTAACTTTTAGCAACATCGTCGTAGCGTCTGCCTCATCGGCCACGTCGAAAACCTTCGCCTGCGACTGCGAGGCTAGCAGCGGGACTTTGAAGTATGGGAGTGCACCCTTGTGATCATTTTCGTCTAGGATTACATAAGGGTCATAAAGGAATCCTTCACCTGTCGAGGCTCCTATGTTTGGTCTTCCGCCTCGGAGCCAACTACTAGCCAACTACTTGAAAACCGACGCCTGAACCCCTGGTGCACCCGTGAACATCTAGGCCTCACAGATTCTGTACTTCTGTCGGCCCAGATAATCCCAAAACTGCCCCCGAACGTCGTAACCCTGAACCGTAGAAGCCATTGAATGTTTAGGCCATGCCTTAACAGCTGAACTCAGACCCTTAGCCACGGCCCTTGCACGCTTCAACCCCAAACCCCAAGCCCCAAGCCCCAAGCCCTAAACCCCTAAACCCCTAAACCCAACCCCTAAACCCTAAACCCCTAATCTCTAAACCCCTAAACGCTGAACAACCCCCAAACTTGGAGCGCTCTCCTCGCTGCCAGGCACAAGCTGAGAAAGAAATCGAGAGCCCGCCTGGCCATGTACAGGTAATGTAGCGGCCTTAATAAGTAGAATAGGGTTCCTTTAAAGGGATCTGTAAGGGTTACTATAGGGGATCTTTCAGGGTACTATGATGTAGGGGCTTTAATAATTAGAATAGGGTTTGGGGGTATATTATGCTATACTACCCTATTCTAACTATTAAGGCCTCTACATTACACGTATCTGCTTTCGCTGTGAGCAGGAACTACTGTGAGCTTCAGGCAGGAAGACTTCCCAACAATGTGGGAGCCTCAATATTTAGAACAGGGTTTTGGTGGTGTGTTGAATTATTATGATAAGGAACCCCGAAAAAGTAGAGGTGATTATTAACGCCCCTATATTGCCCCAAACCCTAAACCCTAAACCCCAAACCCGAAACCTCATGCAATCGGCGGCAGCTGCCTGGCTTTCCTTCATCTGCAGTGTCAGGAGGCCGCCCTCGCTGTAGAGCAGCTCCTACAGTCATTGGCCACGTGTACACATGCATACATGCATACATATATCATATATAATACATACATACATGCATGCATACATGCGCACATGCATACATGCGTACTGCACACGTGCATACATGCATGCATGGTGTATCTATATGAAACGCCCCTTTGCTCTCTGTCTCTAGTACTGGATACCCAATACTACCTCTGCAGGCGCTTCTGCAGCCATGCTGGAGGAAGGCCCGGAACAGGCTCAACCATCAAAGACTTAAGCAGAGTTTCGCACCGCTGTCGCTTCCTCTCATCAGGCCCGAACGTGCAATCGTTTTGAGTGTTCAGGATTTTTGCTGCTCGTACATTCTCTACGGCCATACTACCTTACAGCTTTCAACAGTGCTCCACACCCCACCACCGGGCCTGTACTTTCCTCTGTCTCAAGAGCTGAAGCGCAGCAGACAGCGCAATGTACACCTCGGCGCAACGATCGTCAAACAAGAGTCTGTGTCAAAGACTTTTTGTGTTTCGCCGTGAAGTGGGCACTTGTACATTCGGCATGTCAACACTGCACCTTCACGGATCTTCACAGCAAATGCGAAACAGAGGCGAAAGTTCGAAACCCTGAACCATGCTTCGTTCAAACCTATCCACCCTGGCTCCTCTGAGCTCTTTTTGAACGACTTGCCTGCATGGCTCTCGCACAGAGGAGACCACGCGCGCTGCGGGCATCTCTGGATCTTTCAAAACGTTCTGCAGTGGCTCATGAGCTTCGGGCACTGAGGGGAGAAGCATGCAGCTAACTCCCGAACAAAAGATACTGTAGCCCACTGCAGCCTACATAAAATGATTCAGAACTCGTTGACGAAGATGGTATCGCCTTTCGCTGGAAAGCTTGAAAGCGAGTTCGAAGAGGGCAACCAGCCCGACGCATAGCCCAGCATCTGTGAAGGATTCTCCGGATTCACATAGATCCCTGCGCCAGCGGCGAAGGTACAACCGTGGCAGGTGGCCTCAGGAATTTGCTCAAACCAGGAGTGAACCCAATCCTATACCCCAAACCCTCAAGCCCTAAACCACTACCAACGAGCTTCTTCCATTACGGCCCCTCCGTGTTTCGATTTTGGAACCCGGAAGTTGCGCTGGCTCTGTGGAGCGGTTAGAATCCGCGTTGAGGGCTTTTAGGGTTTAGGTTGTGTCTTTAGGGGTTTATAGGGCTTAGGGTTTAGGGGTTTAGGGTGACCCGGGCCTTTTTGGAGGATACCATGGTGATCGTAGCCCTGCCCTCAGAAGGCTGCACAGTAAAGAGATCGAAGTAGTCAGAGCCCATGATCATGGAAGAGAGCGCGGTGCACACGATGAAAATCTGCCCATCGCTCTGGAGGAGAATGTTCATGTTCTGGTAGGATTTGTAGCCACCAGCCACGCCCGCATCCTTCAGAAGCTCGTACTTGCTCCAAGATGCTATGAGGCTGAAGGATCCATCATCCCCCTCCGAGTAGATATCGATATTGTTGTTGTCACCATCACCCACCATTACTAGCCACTTACCATTTTCCTGACGTCCAATTCCGACAGCCCCAGCAGTCTTACCGGGCCTGTCAATCACAGTAGGTAGCTTGACTGGGTTCGTTGGATCAGACACGTCGAAGAAGAAAACCTGCGATCTTTTGCTGCAGCCTCCAAACACTCTTTGCATGGGTGAGCACTGCGCTTCGGCCCCAATTGCCAGCAAATCCCCACTGATCTGAAGGCCACCAGCATGGGTCAGGGTCGAGTCCACGATCACCCGCTTCACAACCTCGGGCATTGGCCCAAGAGGCATAGGCTCCTCTCTGCCTAATGCTTTACTGTACTCCCGGTTTCAAAACACAGTTTGTGTGAGTACCGTCTTGCATATCTCCAACGAGTCTCTTCCAAAACGTGCTGGAGTTTGGGGTTTGGGCTCCTAAACCCCATACCGGAAACCTTAAAGCCCTAAAACGCCAATTCCCCAAACCCAAACACCCCAAATCAAACACCCCAAACGCCCCAAACCTTAAACAGAAAACCCTAAACACTGCTTAAGACCCGCACCTGCCCACTCAGCGGGCCAAGAGGGCCCGAGCCAGTGCCCTGCAAAACGGCAATGAAGAGGTCGCCCGCGTCGCTTTCCGCTCCTGCCCGTCCAAGAGCTCCCCAGAGAGCCCCCAATATTCCGCGTAGACTTCGTTAAGCAATCTTCCCTAAATCAGCACAAGGCAGCTACATTTGTCAAAAACTTCTTCATTGATTAAGGGTAAAGGAAACTTCCACAAGCCCGATGTGGGTTAGTCTCAGTCCCCAACCCGATGCTCGGTGCACGGATACGTAGCTAGGATTAAGGGAGATTCGGGTCTCTGGGTCGTCCATTGCATGGCGAAGAAAACATGTATGGCAAGAGAATGATGGCAAAAGTACAAGTGATGGTGACATATAACGGTGACTTGCGTAATACTGATCATCACGACTTTACGTGCCATTGAAAAATCTTCGGGAGAGCCTTGGCAGAAGGGGATAGGTAATGGCTCTGGGCCTTTCTTACTTGGAGGATCATGGGACTTAGTAAGCAAAGTGAAAAGGTACCCGAATTGGGGTAACCATAAGTATAGTTGCCTTAATAATAACTCTAGTTGCTAAGTCCCATGATCCTTTAAGTACCCTAAACCCTAAACCCTATAAAGCCCTGCAGATCCCTTTTAAAGGACCCCTTATAGATCCCTTTAACGGAACCCTAAAGGGACCCCTAAACCTTTCTCAGGCTCCTGAGAAGACAAGGTAGTTGCCCTTGAAGCGCTGGATCGACTCGATGTGCTCAGCATACGGAGGCATGTAGTTCTTATAGTGGTCCAGAGGCCACACACTGCAGGGGTCGTCGGATTTCAGGGATGTGTTTCAGGCTTACAGGGAGTAAGGGGTTAAGGGATCACGGAGAAATGCACCTGCCTTCCCTTGTTGACCTTGATCACCTGACCATTTTGCCCCATGGCCGCGAAGGAGGCCCTGACGTCGGGAACCGGGGGGCTCCCAGAAGTCGGCAGCGCTCGGCTACGGTTGGTGCCGACAGCTTGCAGCGCGCGATGCCTCCGATGTTGATCTGTCTGAACGAGGGCCGTAAAGCCCAAGGAGTCGTCCTCCAGGCAAGCGAGCTCTCCGCTTGATGCCACAGAAACTGCTACCAAAGAAAGTAAGAGAAGCGGCCATGAGATTCCAGCCGCCATGTTGGTCACAGCACAAGTTTCAGTACGTCTTTGAGCCGGTGGTCGCAGGGTTGCTGCAAAAACTGCAGTAACTATAGCCGACTGGAAGTAGTCCTAGTCATGGTTACGGCATGGACACAGAAGTGGAGCAATCACGGCGTTGCTAGTACATGATACATGGCCTGCACTGTACTTGCAGAACGCATACCGATTAAAGTAGTCCCGAGAGGCCTTAAGCCTTACGCTGCTTCTGCTATCACCGAAGCCAATGCCACCCTGCTAGCACTACCGCCACTGTCGTAATAACTGCTGCAGCTGCTGCTGTTGCTGCTGCTACTACTACGACGACTACTACGACTACGACTGCAGGGCAGCGCAGGGCAGGGCAGTTTCCTGGAGTACCACGCCTGCCACACAAATCCGCATTAAGTTCGCGGCACCACCACGACAACGACCACTACCGCTACCACTGCAACTTCCACCACCAGCACCACCACCAGCACCACCACCACCACCACCACGACTACTACTACTACTACTACTACTACTACTACTACTACTACTACTACTACTACTACTACTACTACTACTACTACTAGGAAAAGCAATCCGACTCGACTCCTAGAATTGAACCTGCTTGGAGGGGCAGGGGACTTAGTAAGTAGTATAAGTAGAGTTATAAGTACCCTAAATGGAGTTACCCCAATTATACACTCCAAACCTAAACTAAACCTCGCCCCACTATAGATCCCTTCTAGTAGCCTTCACAGGCCCCTTTGAAGGAACCCTAGGAACCCCGACATACTCCAAACCTAAACCAAGCCTCAAGCCTTGAACCCTCAACCTGATAAACCAAAGCCTTGAGGAAAAAAGTTGAGCGCTGCACCCCACATCGTAGCCCTATGCACCCAACCCGTCTAGTAAGCCTCCCAGAAATCCTTGTACTAGCCCTAAACTCTAAACTCTAAACCCCAGACCATAAAGCCTGCACCCTAAACCCTAAACTCCTAATTTCTAAACCCCTAAACCCCTAAACCCCTAAACCCCTAAACCCTGAAGCTGTGAGCTGCTGGAAACTTCCGGGTTCAGGGCTGGTGGAGGCTGGGACTTCGCTGCAAGGCGTCGTGCCTTCGACGATTCGTGAGATTCAGGTCTTGGCGCTCTAGGCCTAGGTGGTTTTATGGTGGAGATTTAATACTAAAACTAAAAATCGAAACAATGATGTTCACAATAACCGTAAAAAAACAAAAGTAATACTCATGATACGAATAATAGTGGTAAGAAAAATAGTAACAGTAGTAGTGATGCTAATGCTACTAGTAACAATAGTGATATTGGTAGTGAAACACAACAGCGCACAATGGTAGCGGTTGTTTTAAACTCACAATAGTTAAGGTAATGAGAATAGCACTAAAACTACTCATAACAACACTGATAACGATACTGCCACAGTAGTAACAGTACCAATGCGAATAAAAAAACTCGAGTAGGAAGAATACGGATACTGGTTAGAAAAGTAAGAAGATGAAAATACTAGTAACAGAAGCAATAATAATCGCAATGCTAGTAGGTAAAAAAGACTCATGTTGAATAATCACGTCAACCAATAGAACGAAGCTCTGAACCACCCCGTCCTGGGCAGCTCTGTCCGCGAGCTGAGGCCACAACCACCAGCAGCACTGCGCCGATCACCACGCCCGCACCACCCAATAACTGCAGCAATTCCAAAAACAGAGTGACAAAAGAGGCTTTTCGTGACAGGAAGACCCCCCGGTGCGCTGTGACCCATCGAACATCAGCCACAACCCATGCTGCCGGACCGAATAGTCCCTGAAAACACTCTAGCACCTGCCGCTTCCAATCCCTCGCAGCATTCGAGTCAGGTTACCAGGGCCTGCTCAACGCAGCAAGTGTCATGCTCGAAGCCGCTAAGAAGGAGATGATCTTTCGATGCTAGGCAGCATTAGCAGCAGCAGTAGCAGGGAGAAAGCGACATTGCCGTCTTTCGTATTGCATCTCACGAAAGGAAAGTGGGAACCCCAGGTGCATGCACCTGGTCGTCGAAAGTTGCATCTGCGAGCAGATATCATCATCAGAGGTCATGGGTTGGATCACAAGGACCCGGTTACCGCCACCCAGCCTTGAGCTGAGAATTCCGAGCATCGCTGTCCTGCGATGAAGAAGCAATCTTGTATCTAAGCTTATTCTTTTTTTTTGAACCCTCGTGTCTTTTAGCCATTGCATCCAAACTACGGGTTCAGGGCTGAGGCTTTTTTATGGCTTAGGCCGCAGACTTCAGGATGTTCGTGCTTAGTTGCTGTGAGGCAACAGACACAGGTATGGTACAAGACTGGACCATCTGCCACCCGAGAGAAGAGTGCCTACTTGGAGGATGCTGGGGATTAGTAAGTAGGGTTCTCAGTACCTTCATTGAGGTTGTAAGTCATCATAAGTACAGTTACCCTGATCATAGCCGTCGTTACTAAGTCCCATGATCCTGGCAGTACTGCTGTTGATGATATAAATCCTGCATTACCCCTAATAAGGAATATACCACAATCCCCATAGTTTAGGGTCCTTAAGGTAATGCAGGATTTGCATCATCAACCGTAGTCTCGGACCCCAGGGGAGCGCCGTCGAACGAAATTCCTGCTAGAGGGCTTAGGGTTCAGGGTTCACGAGTAGGGTTGTGAGCTTTCGGGTGTAGGGTTTAGGATTTAGGGCTTAGGGCTTCGGGTTGAAGGGTTAATTCGAGTTTAGAGAAGGATTTCGTATGTACCCAGAACCCCGAAAAATCCAAAAAGTAGATCCCTTAATGGGGCTCCTATAAAGTACCCTTAGATCCTCCCCGGGGTCTGTCTGGGTAGATATGGTCTGTGTCAGTGGCCCAAGCCCTGAAACATTCGGCACAGGCTCTTTGACTCATGATGTAGGAACCTGATTAAGAAACCTTGGGCCTTTATTGGGGTTCCTATATGAATCCTACTATTTTGGGGCTATGGGCTCGGGGTTTCTTAATCAGGTTCCTACAATATCATGTTCGATTGCTAGCTGTGTATATGATACAAGCACATCTCGGTAGCACTGCTGTGACCGCTATCCGAGCACCGCTATCCAGCATAAGATCATCGACCATGACCACATTGCGTTGACTGTTCTTGCAGTCTCCCAGTGCCGCCACTATCACTATTCCTCTGCCTTTACAATGGCCGTGGGTGTCGTTCTCGTCACCGCTGTGCTTGGCACAAGTGTTGTGGCCGTCTTGGAATAGTATTGGATATTATTTACGCCCCCAAAATTACCCTACACCCTAAACCCTCATTGAAGGCTTCGGGTCCCGTCGCCATCGGCGCTCCACAGCTTGTAGCAGCCCATTCCACATCGTTTGGCAAGTGTTCTGGAGACTCGGATATGAACACGGTACTGCTGGTCGTGGTGGCGCTAGGTTCTGCTATTCCCTTCGTGCTACCGTCTGCAGCTGCGGCTTGCTGGGAAAGTTGCAATCCGAGGTGCTGTGGCTGCAAGAGGTTTGGTTAAACCTACGGTCATTTGCTGGAAGTCTACTCAACGACTTTCGACACGATGTCGCTATGCCACTGAAACCTGAGCGGTTCTGAAAGCACACAGCCCTGCTGTCGAGGATGTGGTCGGGAAACAATACCTTGCTCTG